TTTTTTTTTTTTTTTTTTTTTTTTTTTTAACAGGAATGTCGCTCTCAGGTCACAGTTATAGGTTAAAGTTGCGACAAGAAAAAAAAGAGACAAATGTCAATTCGATGAATACACCTTTATCCCGAAGAGCGACTATTGTTAAATTCCGTATATCAGAATTCTGAGGAAGAACCTGATGTGGTAAACATTGATGAAATTTATTGAATAACGTTTTCTGAATATTTCGGATAAAATTTGTAAATTCCATATGGAATTCAAATTATTACAGTAACAAGTATCTTATCCTTTATCTCTGTCCGATCCACGGACGCTATTCTACTCCCGTCGCGTCGGTATTTACGGCTTGTCTCACTAGCCCGTACAGACATGCTGCCAGTGTTTTGATTCCCAGCACCCACGCGCTGACTTATGCTGCCATAGTACATACGTGGCTTCCTGTAGGCAAATTCTCGTGCTATGTAAAATCATACACAGGATTGGTACAGTAGATGCATTGTGAATCTCGTAAAGCAAAATGAGTCAAGATCACAAGATGCAATTATTAGATAAGACCATAAATCTTGCTTTTACACGATTCCGATTAAAAATATATATATATATATATATATATAGAAGCGATGAAAAAAGAATTCTTAGAAAAGCTAAAGATCAATCGGGATGCTGCAAGAGGAATTAATGCTAATGCTCGTATCTATTGCTAATCTCTACACGTGAATCTTTTGCCTTGATCCTTTTACGGAATCAAAGGATAAAACGATCCTGACTCACGTCTATTGACGCTGAGTGTAAACGAACCCTTATCCTGATCGTCGTGGCGCACAGAGCCGCGACATTACGTATAAGGGAAACGTAACGAGTAACAACATTAGACATCGGTATCAAATACTACGTGCTAAGACTAAGCTTAGTCCTTGTGGGATCCGGTTAATCGGCCATCTTGAATATACAATTTAGAAAAGTAAATGCGATTAGATGAAAATATTATTTAACGTGACCCATTGTTATTAAAAATTCAATTTTTACTTATTTTGTTTAATACGTCAATATACGCCGAGTCGTGTTAATTATCTTGTCGCTTATCGCCCATAAGATTTATACACGCTGATAACGATCGTCCAGCAACCCAGAAAGCTACTTTGCGGTCTCCCGGTTGCGGTCGACGCGAATATTTTTCGAGTGCATATATATTTTTCTTCGCCACGTTCGTAACGGTTTATCGGCAACTACCGTGTGCGCCTTACACACTTTCGCCCCATTGAAAACTGATTGCGGTCCAGTTCACATGCGAGCATCGAGTGAGTCCCTTTAACCGCCATATATAGAAACGGACTAATGAACGTCGTTGAGTCGATTGATAAGAACGTGTCTGTATATATATATATATATATATATATATATATCCGTTCGTGAATCAATGACGAAGGAATCACGTTTCATCATAGAGATCCGATCTGGAAGTGTGTCAAGAGCGTAACATGTTCCTTGTTAACGTATAAAGGTAATTGTAAAAAAAGAAATGTGATTAATTCAGACAATGGAGTTTAATTCCGTCGTACCGTGCGATTTGGCTCGAACGGAAACAAAGGAAAGTCACGTACCAGGAATGAAGTCGAGCGAGAATTGTTCTTAATATAAAATAGCAGAAGTGTGAATGCACTGTGAAATCGTAAGCTCTCCAATATCTCGATTCAGTTTATAATCTCTTGGTAATAATCAGTGTAGTGGATATAGGTACGTATGCTGCACCGTATGTGCATTGTGCACTGAACCCGCCTGGTACCAGTTTGCAATTATAACGTAACCCGTGGATTGTGCACGTGTTATAGGACGCGCGTCACCACGTTGTGTGTATATATATATATATAATATCCAGTTCGAAGAAGGGTTTACCTTGCTTCAAAGAGAGCTTTGCCAAGAATTCCTTATGGAAGGTGTTGTGTGACTGTTACGATTACTCTGGTTGGGTCTTGGGTCGTTAAAACGTCTCCTGGGGATAATCGTATATCACTGCTCGAGGAATCGAGACACGTTCGTGCCCGTACACATAATAGGAACATTAGCCGATGGTGTCTACGAAATTTCCATTGGATTTGAGCATCGAGTTGTAGAAGATTGAAAATGTATATAGTTATATAGTTGTATAAGAGATTAACGGCTTTAATTAAAAAGTTTGAGGTATTTGAGACTCATCGTGAATCCAGTGTAACTTGGTCGATCAAATGACTCGAGTCAGTTTTTATTACTATCTTGTTGCGTATCGACGATCCAAGGGCCCTTTGATATTTTCTGTTTATAAGTTTCTAAGGAAGAGTCGAGTGGGAGGCTTGTGGAACCTAACGTAAGATCCAGCAGCCGACTAACGGTTAAGAGGTTTGCCTTCTGTTGGCCAAGGCAGCGTCCACATCGTCAGGTCGAGTCTCGCATACTATTCCTTTCCTTTCCTTTCCATTGCTAGAGCGCTTTGATGTCCGCTCGAAATGCAGCAGGAGGGAGCCCCAGTACTCTTGGAAGATATCATAGCAGACGGCGGCGGCAAGCGTTCCTATCTGAACGATCGGCTGCCGTCGTGAGCCGAAGGGTCTAGGAGGAGTCGTCGGGTACGCGGCAGCAACAACAGAAGTGAACGAGGCTAGAGGTAGGCGCGCCGCGTAACGCGAAACAATTCTGGGTTCCGTCCATCGTCCGTCCTTCTTTAAGAGGCGACCCGCCGCGTAAGACAGAGGAGTTACAGTGAACGGCATAGCCGAGTAACAATGGCGGCGGCAGGTCGTAGGCGTAGGAGTGCTGCTTCTGACTCCTTTAGTCGTTAGTGGAATTTCGACTGGCGTGCGTCTCTGACTGTCATTTCATCCTGATACATTGGACTCTGGGATCTCTTCGGCGCAAGGATTTTCGAGACCTCCATCCACTCGGAGATTTTTACTCAGGGCGAAGGTATTTCTGTCCTCGGACCTTGCACGTGGGAGGCAATGCTTTCAGTGCGATCCAGTGTCGTGGCTGCAACGAGAGTTTAGTGACGTGTTTGTGTCGTGACTCCTGGTGCCAGACCAGACGATCAGCTGCTTGCTTACTTGCTACTGTCTTTACGTCGGTTTCACATTGCCGTTTCGAGCAATCCCGGAGACCGGTTTCTGCCAGGAGGTAAGCCGAATAGAAAAATTTTTGTTCGACCGCAGCAGCCCCTTGGATCCTACCACGTATTCTTATCTAGTGAAGTTACGAGATGATCCGGATAGCTCTCTTCGGGTGAATGTGAACGTGGCTTAATGTGTACAGTGCTTGACGGTGTGGTGCATCCTAAATAGTCACGAGACTGAATAGTCCAGGTACACTCATCGACGTCTCGTATACCCGATAAATATATTTCTTTTCGTCGTCTCTGTCGAAGAACGCTTCATTGTCGATTCCTGACTTCGACACAGATTCATGTAGATTGGGAAACCACGCGGAATCCTTTCTCAACGTCTTGCGCAACCGTAATCCTCTTCGCCTGGCATAGCGCGCCAGACAAAACAAACCCCGGCTTATGTTTGGGAATCGTTTGTCAAGCTGATGGCGTTGCCAGGTAATTTTTGACTTGCCGAACCAAACCTCCTGGGTGTGGATACATGGTGGACGGAGACATAGTATCTTTCAAACAATGAGACTAACGAAGACAAACAATCGAGTAGGAGACTTCCGGTGATTTCATTGTTCACTCAACATGGTACGAGATTCCATGCACTTATATTTTTATAAATCGAGCATCGATCTAATAATCGCAAGACTACTCTTGTATTTTGCTCTTACCAAATTTTTCTACATTCAGCCGCGATCGATTATTCATACTTGTCAGTCACGTGGACGAACCAAATTTCTCAATATTCGTCGTGAGTTTGTGATTTAAAAAATTTAATTTTACCCTCCTGTCGACTCAGCTGCGATTGCACTAAAATGACAATCCGACGGGCAGTGCTTGTGTTTACGTCGATTGGCAATCCTGTTAAAAAGACTATTGCAAAATCTTCCAGCTCCTTCAATCCGTTGACAGCCCGACGAGTTTGGTAAAGGCCGTAGGCGACAATTCAAGGCGACGGCGATTTGCATCGTGCAGGACTTTTATTTCTTTTTTAAAAATGCATTCGAATATCCATTTAACGTTGTTACGTATCACGACCTTGTGCATCCTATTTACGTGTCCAATAATCGACCCGCATGTCACTCGCGCTACTTCCATAAGAAAATTATGTTTTTCTTTTTATAACAATTCCACATTAAATCATTCGCCCCGCGAATTATGTACAACGTAAAGGAAGTAACAAGGCTGTATCGCTCTGATGAGAATTGACGATTAAACGTTTTTATCAACCGACTTTAAACAACACTTCGTATCTATCTTATTGTCCAATATCGGCCTTAATGATTTTCACAGATAAGATACATTCGATTCTGCCGTCGCATCAGCCTCTTTCAAGGCGCGCTTGCAATTAGCGGCTATATGAACTCTAATCCAAAGCGCAATTGAAATTAGTAACGCGACTGACGTTGCTCGGGAGTGTCTTCTCTGTACGTATTATATACAGTATGTCGTACGTTGTAAGTAATGCCATATATATTACTTATTCAGTTAATATTTATTTTTCATTTCACATTGCGCAATACTCGTACTCGACCCACCCTGAACTTCCAGTACAAGTGACTCCGTGACTGACTGAAAAATCTTTTCTAACAAATGCAATGGCTGCTGTCACGGTATTCGGTCGTTACTAAGCATCTTTTTTTTTTTCCTTGATCTTTAAGCACGGCTCTCACGCGTTGCATATATTACTGTTACGCATGTTTTGAACCCACCTGTATCGTACTTACATGCTCTACCGGTTTTCTTGTATAGTTTCACGATACGTGTCAGAATCATCATTCACCGATGACATTTGTCCACACTTCTTGTCACGATGATGCTTCGTCTTTGGAAAAAGAAAAAAGAAAAAGAAAAGAAGACGTCACTAATTTGTATAATAAATAGAAGCCTTGCGTGGTCCTCGTAGAGTCGTCGACTCGTAGGAGAAATTCGTCCGAGACGGACAGGCTGATTATGGAAGACGATATGGAAACGGGATTTTTACTTTAATGTTCACGATCCATCAATCTGAACGTAAACACAAACATATATTCAAGTCATGATAATTGATCGATTCATTACTGTTAGTTAATAAAATCTGCCATAAGGCAGTCTTGCTCTTCTCTCTCTCTCTCTCTCTCTCTCTCTCTCTCTCTCTCTCTCTCTCTCTCTCTCTCTCTCTCTCTCTCTCTCTCTCTCTCTCTCTCTCTCTCTCTCTCTCTCTCTCTCTCTCTCTCTCTCTCTCTCTCTCTCTCTCTCTCTCTCTCTCTCTCTCTCTCTCTCTCTCTCTCTCTCTCTCTCTCTCTCTCTCTCTCTCTCTCTCTCTCTCTCTCTCTCTCTCTCTCTCTCTCTCTCGTTCTTACTCACGTCTTACCACTATAGAAAATTAGCCGTTTAGTAATACCGAAATAGAAGTTAGCCTAGTAATTAATTTCCCCGTTTGGTCGTTAAGTCTTTAAGGTCGCTTGAATGAAAATAAATGACGTCCAAATAGATTAGCGTCATTGACTTCCCCTTCCGTATGTGGATCATTTAATTTAACGCTTCGCGTTAATGCCAGAAAATAAACTGTTGACGAGATCACTCTGAGTAACGGTTCAATAGTATTTTTTTTGAGCTTCGAGTAAAATTCCTAACCAACCGCAATGCGGAGGATCGTTTATTAATTAGCTTCTATATGTATATCTATATATGGTCGCTTATTTATAAAAATAATTAAACCTTTTTTTATCTTTCACTCCACGTGCACCCGCCATCCAGTCACTTTCAGGAATTCAACCACTTCACACTCGAATTCTTCTTACGTGAGTCCAACATGGCCGCGCCTGCCCATGGGCCCTCCTTTACCTTATACGCTCCTGGGCATTCTCGAATTCTCCAATTGTCCGCGTGTCACTCTCTCTCTCTCTCTCTCTCTCTCTCTCTTTCTCTTTCTCTTCTTACCTTAACCTTCCCTCTCGCCATCTCTCCCTCCGCGTTGCGAGAAGTGAATATTTTAGTACTGCCACTTACGGTCCTCCCTGTGTCCCAGCACGACACGACGTATGTATAGTAGTACAAAGCTAATGCATGCACCGTAAGATGGAATGGAATGCCTTTGTGAACAAAGCTATTTCATCTCCATATATGTACCTATACTCGGCTTAGCTAATATCTACTACTCGGACTCGAATGATTGCGCGCAACGTATCGTACTTGTGCAAGAACTTTTTACGGCGCCGAGAGTCGTCGAGGAGGTTAGGACGAGTGCAGTAGGTAAGGACTGTTTAAGAGGAAAGAAGAAAAAAATTGTAATCAAAATAAATGTTTATTTCTTTTATTGGGTAACCGTATAATTATGCATGCTCGAATTAATTGCGGATATTAAAATCATCGATATCGAATTTATACAGGTTACCATATATGGAACGATTCGATGCACTTTGATCAGATTTGGTAACACGGTGTATTATTATCGATAATTGGTATCGCCTAATATGGTTGTTATTTTGATAATGTATATGGGAGAGAAAGAGAGAGAGAGATTTATACGAATTTATGTATCGGGATATCGCTGCTATATATTATTGTATTGTTATTATTGTAACATATAAATATCAATGGGTCTGTATAATGTAACAAAAGCATACATGTATAACCGTAGACTCGTTGTTTGCATTTGAAAGAAAAATTCACGTGGATATTAATATGCTTAGCGTAGTAGCCTATATACGTTGTGAGTAAGAGGATTCGAGGTATGCTGGGTATCGCGGTTCTGCGTGGCCGATGGGATCTAATATTATTAGAAAAGCGGTTCTCCCCATGACAAATCGAGACGTGTTTTTAGATCGCTACTCGGGGACAATAATAACGAGCCAAGGCGAAAGGCTGGCTCGAAATTTTCTAGCGCGGAGCTTCATAATGACGCCCATTGAAAATATCGTATTCCTTCGCTACGCGGAGTGACTGCCTTTTTGTTGAAAACCGACCGACGGGTCGTCGTCAATGTTGTCGTTTAGATTGCCATCGTATATACCTGCCTTTAGGTTATCAGTTGGCTTTACAACCTGATAAGATACAAGTAGTGCTCTATATGATGGAGGTGACGGAGGGAAATGATGTGGATATTGTTGACGCCATTGTTGCGTGAAATTTTTGCACGAATTTTAACACTGCACGCATGGTCAATATTATTATTATGGGTCAATTACCTTTTACTTTCGTATAACATTAATTGTCAGATTAAATTATAGTTTTTTTTTTTTTTGTCATGTCTGAGAATACGTGTATTGGTACTGAAATAATTATGTCGGGTTCTTGTTGCAGTCTGTGAATTTCTCCTGGAAGAAAGAGGACATTTTTATGGCGAAATTAGTTAGGCATGACTCACGCGTGCAGCGGGTAAGAATGGTTATCGGCGAAGGTAGATTTTTGATAATTTAAAAAAAAATTTTGTACAAGATTTTATGAACAACCAAAGTGAGGGATGCTCGTTGGGCATAATTTTTTTTCGAAATTTTTTTTTTTTTTCTTTTTGCCGATGTGCACACTCCAAGCAATGTAAATGTGGCGAACAGCTGCGTCTGATTCTCGCGGTAAACTCCGGGACTCTAATTGCGACAATTGCCAGTCAACGTTATTAGCCACGTTCAAGATGGTGGAAGCCAGTTCGCCAAGAGCAATTCGCATTTCGAATAGAACTTTCAGTGCGGGTGACTAGCGAGTCCGCGTGTTCTCACGGTGGGACGAAGGAAGTGGGGATAAAAAGGGTATTTAAAAATGATATACAATGACGCACCTGATGATCGGATACCACACGTGCCACTAGCATGCGTACCAAATACCTAACCTATACTGTCTACCTGCTTGTAACGAGAATTTCTTGGTCTTCCCGGGTCGCTGGACCACGCTCGATAAATCAAACGTCATAGAAGCCATCGTTGTGTAAATAAGTCGTTATTCGCAAGGCTATCTCAACGGCTGAGAAATCACTTTCATCCATTTGACTATTATCTATAATGATCAAGAAGATACTTCGAGATGGCAGTGTATTATTTTTATTACATATCAACAGAGAAAAATTGAGGGGGCGGGTAAAAAACTTTTTTTTTTAAATTTGACATTTTCCAAAATTCTTATTCATTCTTCACGTGGCGATACTTGGTGATAATGGACCTTTTTTTTTTTGAGAACGGATATCCCAAGCTGTATCAATAGCTCCATTCAGTAAGTCACCAATCGATTGTCCATTGCATGGGCGTGTAATGCAACGTAAGGTCACTCCGCGGCTGTGAATCTCCGTTCGGTTTACGGGCAAACCAGTCGGGGACGGCCGAGCGGGGGAACCGACGTAGGCGCCGTTCCGAAGGAAAAACGATCCGCCGTGCCGCCGGCGCAGACATCCGAGACAGCAGCTCGCTGAGTAAAGGCCGACGGGGAGGGTACGGAGCGAAGGAGTATTGGCGCCATCGTACTGCACGCATTATTTCCAGCGTATAATCGACGTACGACGTTGCCTGAATTTCGCTTTCCAGGAGTCCCAGGATGCGCCGGAAGGACGCAGCGGGGTATACGCAGGATGCAGGATGTGGTATAGGTACGGGAGTGCATTCGTAAGTGAGATTCGAGGATGGTAAAGATTTTAGGTTAGGAGAAAGACGTATGAGAAAGAAAAAAATAATAAAAAGATATATTACGTGGCTACCATAGAAAACTTGACGCATCGATGGAAAATCGGATAAAAGAGCAACATCCGGTTGCGCAACGAAATGCAAGTCGGATCGATCGTCGATATTTTCGGTGAAATACAAAAGAGGTTAGGTTAGACTCTGGGTGGAGCCACTGAACGTGTACGAAAATTTTTTATTATTGCCTGCAGCTAACTTCACGCATTGGGATTACCTGCCTATGTTTACGTAGCTGCCTATATATAGCACAGCCATCGAATGCACCCGGGTGCATTTCCATTGCGGGATTCCATTGCGAAAGTCACCGGGTCGGTGCTCATGACTGTTTCTTGTTGCGGCGAGCAGGAGATTATTTACATGCGTGAATCCTTTTCTCGTGTTTACCTTTCTTGTGTGCCGTGCATATATGCAGCTCACTTCAGGCCTTACACTACGAGTATTTTCACGAGACTACTTCAAGACTGCCGTCGAGATGCGCGCGTGAGATCCTACCACGGCTACTTCGAGCGTTCTCTTTGGATAGCTTCCGGTGGCTGTAGGACCCCTGGTGAATTATCAAGATGGCCCCAACGTGTTCCTCTGCGACTTGCGAGGAGATGACCCGAACAGCTCTGTAATCGGTGATCCCGCTTGTACCACGAGTACTGCCAAGTGTGGCTACCCGGTAGTTAACTGTACCTGGTACACACGTGTCCATAGGGTAAATGCCTCTCTTTAAGTGCATCATCAAATTATATGCTGAGTCATACGCGAAAGTACTTTTACATTGAATACAGTCGGTGGCATGAAAGTGCTCGAATTTTGGAGAACCTTAATTATCGACTTTTTTTTATAAATATTACATCTCCTCTCGTAATTCGAAATTTCATAAGTTACCGTACTTATCCTCGAAGGTCAAGCTTTGCTACTGAAATTATCTGTGTGTCTGCTCATTCGCCACATATGTTTGTAATAAATTTGAACAGCGCAAGAAACCGAGCAATTTCTTACTCCCTCCGCGAGAACCACGTTGAGGATCTTGATGGTATATAATATGTATACAGTGCACCATGCCAAGTTCGTTGGATTTGTCGCACCTATTATAATTAACGAGGCACGTACACGTAATTTCAAAAATGTCAAAGGAAAAGAAAACGTATAAAAGAAACAGTGCATTGCTCATACAATGCGATAATGTATTCGAGTATACGAGAAGGATGGTGTTTGAAAGGAAATGCATTATTTACTGCATATACCGTCATTATTCACTACCGAGTGAGCGACTTGGGTTTTGTAAAAAATTTCAAGCAAATTCAATTGGAGTACCTGTAATCACAGTGAGTCTATATGTATATATATTCCTTTAATTATATTTTTCCTAAGCAGATTGTGCACAGGCATAATTTCATACGGTGTCAATATATATTATAAAAATTATAATCTCGATAATTATTGGTCGTGATACACGTAAAAAAGAATGTTATAATAAATTTTTCAAAATCCATCTTTCATCAATTTTTCTCCGAACGCGAAGGACCCTTTATCGATGTGACGTAGTGCAGCTAGAATGAGTCACCGAGAGTGACTGCCTCGTTGTAATTCATTGCGATGATTGGAGAGCCCTCCCCTCTCTTTCTCCTTCGCCGTCCTATGGCTTTGTTCACACCGAACGGATGCTCAACAGTACGCGATTAATTGAATGGCTTCAAGTAGTTAGCTGAAAGATAATAAAGAGATGGGAGAATCCAATGTACCAGGGAGCACTCGGTAAAAGAGAACGGCACCAATCAGAATCGAAATCTCTACCGTAAGTATACGAACGCGTTCCCAACGAGCGACGCTCGCTGAAATTTGCAGCAAGCTAATTGGCGAATAATGAATATCGCGAATTCGCCGTTATATCTGTATCCTAAATTATGTATATGTATATATACACGTTGCTCAGTGGTAATTAATTTTTTTAAGGACTAATTAATTTTCATCAACAGTTACACGGGTGGTGAGATAACTGTGATTTTGGAAAATTATTAAAAAATGATTTGTCATTACTTTGTCATTAGAGTTACCAAAAGTAATTAATTCGTGCTCAGAGTATGCCTAATTTATTATACTATAGCACTATCGTGGGTACTGTAACGATTATACTGTACATTGATAGACCACAGCTGACTCGAGTTATTATAATTATTATTCATACACCACACGCTACGTGCCATTCAAGCAGAAGGCTAAAAACCTGTGTCGCCATACTTTTCTCCTCGGTGTGAACGGGGTCTTACCCTTCCACTATCTATACATACTTCTCGGCATTCGGATTCCGCCTGACTCGCACTGCACGCTCTATTCCATTCTTATGTCTGGCTCCAGTAGTACCTGCTGTTCCATCATGAACGTACGTTCCATTAATTTCTCTGTACACAGAACTCGCGCTTATTTGTAACGCGATATCAGCTCGTTAACCTCGATCAACCTGTGAACAAATATTTGTACACATCGGAATTATCAGTGCGCAAACTTTGAGAGGAATCGACTTACCCAAGTGTTGTGCAATATATTCTTATTTGATCGAGAAGTCTGTATTCAGTGAGATCATTCTTGTGCAACTTATTATATATATATATATATATTTGAATCTTAGTGTACGGTGATATATAAAAGTGCATATAGCTCCTGTCAAACATTCTTATCAGCCAAGGGGTTAGAATTCGAAGGACGGATCATTAAGAGAAATTTTTGAATCTTAGTGTACGGTGATATATAAAAACTTACCCAAGTGTTGTGCAATATATTCTTATTTGATCGAGAAGTCTGTATTCAGTGAGATCATTCTTGTGCAACTTATTATATATATATATATATATATTTGAATCTTAGTGTACGGTGATATATAAAAGTGCATATAGCTCCTGTCAAACATTCTTATCAGCCAAGGGGTTAGAATTCGAAGGACGGATCATTAAGAGAAATTTGGAAAGTCCTCCAGTATAATTACTATAAAGAATGTATTCATATCGTTGGCCATAACCATCTTGTATACTTTGGAGATAGGTAAATGATTTTTGGTATTCTTTATTTTCTTTCAACAGCCCATTAAACCGTTCAAGCTTCGGCGTCTGTTTTTAAAACTCGGAATACGAAAATAGAACGTTATCAGTACTGTCAAGGAGTTAGTTGACCACGTCCGAGAGTCGGAAGTCGAAGCTTCCCTCCCCGAACGCAGCATAATGAAGATTCCAAGAAAGTCGAGCGAGACTACTTAAACGGGACAGTGAAATTAGGTTGTCGCTGTTGTTTAACGTTTTTACCTAGCTGCTGCGACGGAGTCACGAGTAACGAGGAGCTAATGTCACGTTCGATTAACGTTTTACCAAAATAACCCTCTTCCATCTTGCGCTGTCAGTTTAACGAAAATTTCTAATATATATACCCCATGTGTTGCGTAATGGCTTGGGTTTAGTTATTACGAATAAATATAACGACCACTGCAATTTGCCATTTCGAAAATTACTTTTGACTGTTTCAATCCACATATAAACAATTCGCGAAATGTCGTTCTTTCACTTGGCGTTCTTAGTCCGATTCTTTTTTTAATTTGGCCTGTACCTACAATGCAGATATGCAGTTCGAGGGATCGACTTCCGGTATTGAGAAGAATATTTTTCAACCTCCTCACACATAATTTAACGTATGGCTCGTATAATCCAAACATGAATTCACTATCGTGAGAGACTTCTTACATTGAAATTCTTTGACGTGGGCGCCATTGCCACTTCAAGTTGAAGTTCCTTGTCGTTGACTTCCGTCAATGAAGCAACGTATCTCTCTTGGCGTAGGACTCCTTCTCGATGGCCAACAAGTAAATTTACGTCTTGGTGTCTGGCGCCAATAAGCGATAGTTAGACGTTAATGTCGATTACTGTATACGTGTATAGTGTAGTATATCGGTTAGTCATTCCGCGAAGGGCCTGCGTTAGGAATGACTTGGAATTCTAGTGACTCGCATCACGAACTGTCATTTTCATCGAACGGATCATTACGAACGTTCGTGAATTGCTTCCATTATACCGATTCTCTGTTCCACGTATAGAATCTGATGATTGTACAGTAGCACTGCTGACATTTTATTATTTTACATGCAGATGCAACTTTTACCTTTTTTTTTTTGTACGATGATTGATGTACTGATAATACAATAATAATAATAATAATAATAATAATATAATCATCGAAGTCGGTCGCGTACGAAAGTATTTTTTTTGTCATTCAACCTGAAATATACGTAATTGAAGTGAGTGACTCGGAAAGGAGAGATTACTTATGCAACAAACGAAAAGTTTTATAAATATAATAGATATAGATATAGTTGATATGGGAATGTAAGAAAGCTTCATTGAAGTATCAAATGAATTCGTAATTTCAATTAATCTCTACGAGACACGCACGTGCTTTGTGCGTTGACGACTCTTAGAGCCTGTATGGATATACTCGGTGTGCGTTAAGTCGCGTGACATAAATTCGTGGAATCTGACGATTGTGTAATTTCAAAATTACAGAGACTCGGTTGTATGTCAAAATGAGTAATTAATTACCGAAAGATATCACGTGAACGGTATGACGTATTATTCGAGGATGCATTTCTCTCGGGTAGCTTGAGGATGCTCTAGTGGAGCAGCCGCGTATATTTTTATCGTTCGATTAAAAACGACTGCCAGTCAAAATAGAAATAGGCTGAGTTCACGTCCAGTCGAAGTTTTGTCTCGTAGAATTTTCGGTGAGCGGCCACGCCGCCGTTATTATATCCTAACGTCTTTGCTACCGGCGATAAAAAGTATAAATATCGACTGTTCACTATTAACTGTCGAGGGTTCAACGCACCTATGCATGACCAGGACACGATATATGTGCATATCGAGTGCAACGGCGCCACGGTGGCCAAATTTGAAACTAAAACAGACCATTGATTGCGGGTGAAACGTAGTGTTAAACTTTTTTACGAATTTTTTATGACCTTGCGAGTCCCTTTTGCGTCCTTCAATAAAAAAAAATCGATTTATTGCCTCTTGGAATTCTTGTTAACGTATTTCTCAACGTTCAACTACTTGGAAATGTATCAGACGGTCGTCGAGTCAAATAAGTCAATTTCCTTGCAGACTGATTATTGTATATGAGCGTCGTTTAACTCGAGTTAAAAATTTTTTCTTGATTACTCTTATCAGAAACGATTTTCGTTTCGTTGATTTTCTTTGTATCAATATTTTATTCAATATATTACACCGTAACGGCGCCCTCCATAATTCTAGCCGAGTCAGACCTCTTGCCAGGTTATGATTATGCGCTTAGACGAAAGTCCTGGGTTGTCCTATTATTAGCAAAGTTCCCAGCAAGACGTAGCGAAGATAGTTGGAAACTGTTTATATACAGAGGTATAAATATGTTTCTCTGAAATGATATAGATACAAATTAAAAAAAAAAAAAAAAAAAAAAAAAAAACTTATCAGAAACGATTTTCGTTTCGTTGATTTTCTTTGTATCAATATTTTATTCAATATATTACACCGTAACGGCGCCCTCCATAATTCTAGCCGAGTCAGACCTCTTGCCAGGTTATGATTATGCGCTTAGACGAAAGTCCTGGGTTGTCCTATTATTAGCAAAGTTCCCAGCAAGACGTAGCGAAGATAGTTGGAAACTGTTTATATACAGAGGTATAAATATGTTTCTCTGAAATGATATAGATACAAATTAAAAAAAAAAAAAAAAAAAAGAAGAAAATCACACGATATATCAAATCCACTGTATCGTATATATATATACGTTAGAACTTATCAGTCCTGTGTAAGAAGAATGCAGAATGCGAGCGGGAAGCGGTTGGGTAAAGCGGCAGACGTGATTTCACGTCTGCCGCCAAGGAAATTGGAAACCATGCTGGTTGTTTGTTTGTTTAACCGACATACAGATGTAACAGTCGCGTGCGTTATAATAAAACGTTCGTGTGGAACTTTCGAGAATCGGATTTCTCATTTTCATTTTGAACGCCTATAACGTATCCGGAAGTATCGGTATTATTCTATACCCTCGGCGGTTCTTCCTCCATAGGTGAAAAAATAATAGTACACGATCCCTTCAATATAATAGCATATAGTCTTACCTGACAATATATATAGGTATATGAGACTGTAATATATTAAATTTCTATTAATGGTATACCGACAGTTAATAAATTGTCTCGTAAATTTTTGTTTAAGGCACTTCGACCGATCTGGTGCCACAGCTTCTTGGTATGTTTGACGAGTTAGCACGCAGAGGCAATGGCTACTCCGATCATGTTCTACCGTCTACCTGTAACATCTCCGCTGCCATTCAGAAACGCTTAAGTCTGGTACCACATTCCCATCGTGGCTCCATATTTGGTTCCCTTTGCTCCACGGAATCCATAGTCGCGAAACCACAACGCGAGGAGACAATGAACGCCGCGGAAGCTCGAGGAATCATGAAAAATTCCAACAAGATAGAAATCACTGTCTCCAAGGAAACTGTCAAGAGGGAAGACGATCGGTGCGAAGGATCCTTGATGATAAATGGACGTAGTATCAAGTCTGCCGATGAGAAACCTTCGTATCGACGCGAGGCAAACGGTCTGGCACCGTTGAGGTACAACAGGAGATGTCGTCCCGCAGGACGACCTCTTTCAGGAAGTTCCATAGCCTCGAGTACATCGTCCAGTGGATGCAGCAATCAAGGAAATCCATGTGCGGCCAATCCTTATTTAGCGTCGGTAGAATCATTGGCCGATACCTGTGCCAGTTCTCAAGGTAAATTATGACAAAAAAAAATTATAAAAATATTGCAATACCGTTCTAGAGTATGTAACGTTCGCGAAATGCGGAAGTTTATGATGTAATTTTTAGTTAAAAAATAAACCGGTTTTCGGACCACTTTGTGGATCTGTTGGTCATTCTTGTTTGGGTCGCGAATGAACTTTTAATTGATTTCTTTTATTCTTACAGGATCTGGTGACAGTGGAGTCGTTACTGTTTCTGATGTTAATTGCCGAATCGGTAACAATGGCGATAGTCAAAGAAGAGACAGTGCTGAGGTCGAGTCTCCGTTACACCATAGACCTCGTTATTGTGATTCTCATCGCAATCCCGTTGAGAGGGTACTCCTTGAGATTGTTGATACAGAAGCTATTTATGTTGAGCATCTTCGTCAAGTTATACAGGTAGGGAGAGACTGTGCTGGATTGTATTGGATTTTCATGGTTTGATTACGTTTTAGTATTTTTTATAGTATATTTAGTATTTAGTATATTTAGAATTGTTATTGGGGTGACGGGAGTCGAGGACCCTAACAGTCATTGGTGATGAGAGTAACCAGTTGGCAAATTAGTCGGTAATCAATGAATCCTCTGTGTATTGAAAGATGATACTTATTGAATGGTATATTTGGTATCAATGTCTGGGGACCCATGTTGGACCTTGTGGATTATATGTTTTTACTTTATCAAGTTAATTGATTGATAAAATTTCATATTATATATCTGTCATGAAGTTGGATTTTTATGAGGATGTACATTCAGTTGTGGAGGTTAGGTCTCTCATGACTCATGCCTGAGGGATCATTGATCGGCTGCGTTTACGTTCAGACAAATTTAATCTCGGTCGAATGACCTTATGCCTAATTTTATTGTCGTCTATGGCAAATTTGACTTTAATAATATTTACTTGGTATCCTGTACCATTTGATGCTTCAAGAGATAAATGATTTATCATTTTATTATTTTTTTGTTTCCTTCTTATTTTTACAGGGCTATCTTATATTTTGGAGGGACGACCCTGCCTCTTTAGTCCATCAATTGCAACTCAGTGATTTGTTTAGTAATATCGAGGATATTTATGAGTTTAACAGGTAAGTCCTTTTTTAAGATTATATGAACATTCATTTTGTTAAGGATCATTTTTATCAAATGATTTTATCTTTCTTACAGGGAGTTTCTTAAGGAAATAGAAAAATGCGGCTTGGATCCTGTTTGCGTTGCTAATACCTTTATCAAGCATAATACTGGATTTAAAGTTTATACAGAATATTGTACTAACTACCCAAGGTATAACAAATTTATGATAAATATTGAATTTCTTATTCCCTTGATTAGTTAAATTTCTTTAACTCACGCTTTTCTATTTATTTCAGAACGGTGTCTGTACTGACTGATCTCATGGGTCAAGAACATACTGCGGGTGCTTTCCGAGAAAGACAAGCAGCACTAGGTCATGCATTGCCACTTGGTTCATTTTTATTGAAACCTGTGCAAAGGATTTTGAAATACCATTTACTGTTACAGGTAAGGAAATTCTCATCAGTCTTAATTAACCATTTTTCTTCGTATACTTCATGCAGAATTCTTTTTTAGAACCTATCAAAAGAGTATGGTGCAACTGGCGAGGAAGAAGTGAATGAAGCTGAGGGCAGAGATGCAATCGATGGTGCTTTAGCTGCTATGACAGGCATCGCAAAGCATATTAATGCAATGAAAAGACGACACGAGCATGCGGTGCGCGTTCAAGAAATTCAGTCACTCCTGTATGGATGGCCAGGTCCTGATCTCACTACTAGTGGCGAATTAGTGGCAGAGGGCAGATTCCGCATGCGAGGTGCCAAAGCTCCGCGACACGCCTTCCTCTTCGACCGTATGTTACTTCTTACTAAAAAGAAAGAGGATGGTCTACTGGTCTATAAAGCTCACATTATGGTACGTACTATTCAGTGTGATTACATTGAACAAAATTGAATAATTAGCTTATGCATGTATAATTGACTTTATCATTTTTGTGATAGTGTTCAAATCTTATGCTGATTGAAAGTATACCGGGGGAGCCATTAAGTTTTCACGTTATTCCTTTTGACAACCCACGTCTGCAGTACACTTTACAGGTAAATACATTGATATTTATATAATTTAATTGTACATACATTCATAACGCATTGATGTACTGTGTTACAGTATGCTTGGTTTGGTAAGTGTCATATTTAGCATGTTAACTATGTAAAATTAGATATTTGAAAGATCAGACAATGTGGCTAATTGCGATGTATTAAAATATAATTTTCTATGTCATTTAAGGCTCGCAATTTGGAACAAAAAAGAGAGTGGACGTTACAAATCAAGAGGGTCATCCTTGAGAATTATAACGCAGTAATACCTTCGCATGCCAGACAGTTAGTAATGCAACTTGGGCAAACACAACCAGAAGGTAAAGACGAAGTTTTATTTAAGTGAAAGACAGATGTAAGGGAGGCAATAACATGACATTAAATGTTTACCTGGAAAATCGAAAAACACGTATTTGTGGATTTCAGAAGATGCGTTGGCAGACAAGGGTTCGGCAAAGAAGCAACACTCGGCGCCACCGGAGTATCTTGAGAAGAGAAAGCAAGAAAGGGAGCGGAGAAGATCTGAAACAATGTTTAGGCAAAAATTGAAGAAGGGTAGCAGGAAGTTAGAATCTAATACAGCTTCTACCGAGGTAAGTACAGTGAAAGGAAAATTGAGCTTTCGTCCTTGGTCAATTGAAATGATAAAAGAAATGTTCCGACCAGGACTCACCGGCCTCAACCCGTAAGAATCAATCCGAAGAGTCCATCAACCATGGCTGTAGGGATCAGAGTCTGAATAGATCGTCTGACGGTCGTGCATCTAAGGTCAAAGTGCGTTGGAATGAAGCTTATTAATAAAAGAGCATAATGGTACTATAAATAGAATTGAATTAACGATGAAGATTATGTTTCAGGATCGTTTTGCAAGTTGGAGAAGAAAGTCTGAACCCGGATTCCAGTCGTACGTGTCCTTGACCCAATCGGATGACGAACAAAAAGATGATGCGGTTGACACCGAAACTACGACTGTCGAAACTGAGTGTACAATAACGAATGACGAAGACAATACGACTCTTCTCCATAGCAATAACTCTCCGGCATCAGAAACCAAAGATAACAATGAACAAGTTCAAGCGCAGACTGTGGAGGAAATAGTCGGACACATACTAATGCAAAATCGCGAATTCCAGAAGTTGCTTGAGAAACAGCGCACTAACAGTAACATAAATGTCAGGCAGCAGCAACGTTTCAATAAACATATTTCCGCCGATTCGTCAGACGAGAGTGAGACTGAAAATACAAACTACGTTACGGAATCAGCTAATAACAACAGAGGAGGCCGAGTGCGTTCATCACGACGTGAACAACGGCTGGTCAGGGTGAATAACGCTTGGAATTCACTATCACCTACGCCACCGCGGGACAGCCAACCTGCTCTACGATTACGCTATGACAACCTTCGTGCAGAAGGTGAAAAGTCGCCGGAAACCACAACCAAAAATCGTTCTAATCGTGTTCAAGAGAAAAGGGCCATCTTCGAGGCTTTCAAGAGACAAAGTATCGTTACTGAGAGTAAAATCATTAAGACGGCTCTCAGGATACGTGAGAATTCGAACTCTAGTACCGAGGACAATGCCCAAGCTGAAAGACTGCAAGACGAAGGTCAAAGTGTAGAGGAAACTACTGAGACTAGTAATACCACAGTTCAGGATACAGAAGAATCCAAGGGCTTTGGGAATTATGACAATTTGCAACATGTCTGGGAGGGTCTGCAAGAGCAACAGGATATAGATGGCGTCAATGACAGTCCTACTCGACCTGCTGTTTGGTTGACAAAATTGTGTGAAGGATTACCAACGTCTCCGCAAAAATGTGGGTCGCTGCCACGCAGCTTCCAGATGCATCCAAATTCCCAACCTGACGTTACCAAGCCTCGATTTTTACAAAGGGATGGAAAACCAATGAGCGAACGTCCTTTTACAATAGCTTCGGATAAACCTGCAGAAATTAATTTGGAAGATATGGAGAGATATGCTTCTGCCTGTCAACCGGAAGGAAGAATCGCTAAATTTCCAACTTCTAACTCGTCATCCACTTCCACGTTCTTTTATTCTCTCGACGACTCTCTTACGGATGCTTATTCGGAAATTCAAATTTCTAATACCTCTGCTAATATACATCCGGATCATAAGATTTACAGAGCAAACGGACATGGTGCTACGTTGTTTAGGAATGTGTTATCCAAAGCTGGCAGTCGTCTACAAGGTTTACGAACAACTGTGAGTACAGAAACGTTAGAATGCAGCGAGGAACTTGAGAGAACAAAGTATTTTCGTACTCTAAGTAATGGGAAGAGCAAGAAGAAAGGTAAGACGAGAAGTTCAAGAGAATCTTCGTCGGATGTGGAAGAGATCGTTGGCTGCGTGACAGGTGGAAATTCACCTTCGAGAATTCCTCCCTTGTATTACAAGCAGGGTAGTTCCGGTATGGGTGCACGTATTGCCCAATCAGATTATGCTGATCCGGCGACACTATTTGCCGAAAACAAACGGGCGGAACACATCACAGAGAATCCGGAAACGCAAGAGGATGAGAGACAAGAAGATGAGCCTGAGGAAATGACGGCCGAGAGATCAAAGCATCGCGAAACTGAGACTGACAGCTTTTATGAGAAATCTTTTGAGACTATTGAGAATTACGTGGATGCGGACGTTGATGAGGCTTTTCGGGACAGTGCAATATTTAGTGATGTTGATGAAGTGCTCTCCATTAAGTCACCGGTCATTCTGACACAGTCAATAATAGCTCAAACAAAACCCAAAGTTGCTCCACCCGTTCCGGCTAAAAAGAAATCAGATTTGCTGGTGAATCCAAAACCAAAACCGAATGTCGCTCAAAAACCGGACTACTTAAAGTTAAGAGCAAAAATATTGAAAAGTCAAGATGAGTCAGAGTGGTCCAGTGTGAGTAAATTATCAGTGAATAGAGACCCCATACAGATTACAGGAGGTGCATGTTATGATTCGCAGAGTCATGAGAATAAAGATACCTTCTTAGTACAGGAGGATAGAGACGATGTTTCTGCAGGTCAAAGCAGAGCTGGCTGGGTACGAAAAATGGTCGGTCAACTGCAGGGCAACGTTGAAACGTGATTTTATATTATTTTAAAGTGTCTCAAATTAGCTCTGATCATTTTAAATATTACTGTTACGTGTCGAAGTACGAGAAGAGTGTCTCGCTATGAATTTAAAGTGATTGTTTGTTACGAGTCATTAGTTAAAATTTTGAGTGTTATTGTCTGAATGAATAATTCATCATTCAAACCATATTAAATGGAACGGTGGTCAATAATAAATATATAACATGTAAATCCATTAAATGTTTTAACCTAACATAAAGTTCATTCACAAAACTATGTAGGCATAGTTAACTTTTGTGCGAACTCAGTTATTGATATACATCACAAAATTAATTATGTTAGAGAAAAATTATTCTTACACCGTTGTAGTCTTGCTTCAAGCTGTCTTACCGTACTTGTGCTTCACATGATATTCCATCAGTTTCATATCTGAATCATTCCTTGCCTCATTTCATTTTGCAGTATGCAAAGTACCTTGTTTATCATTACATTTATTTAGATTGCAAGGAAACATATTACCTCACTGTTGTGCGAATGAAACAATGATGTAACAATGAACAACCTACGCAACTGCAATCATACAATTACTGTTCTCATTAATCTATTTGCAAAGTTTGCACAAGAAAATAATGTATTACATGTTATTCTATCAATGTTAAAAGTAAAAAAGTGTAGAGTTATACATAAAGATGAAAAAGTATTCAGCTCTATTATACCGTGCCTTAATTGTACATATAGTAATATAAAAATTAATTAAAGCTTCTAGGAAACGTTTATCCTTATACTTGGTGCGCATATGCCTTGTCCTAAGAATACAATACCAATAATGACAGGTCATAACCACCATACATATGTCACACATGTTCTGTACATCTCAAAGAACCTTCTGCTAGAAACATATGGTCTTCCAAGAGACACAAAGAAAAACTATGCAGGATATTCAAGGGAAATATGAACAGTACGCCATCTGTACTATAAATTAATATAAATGTATTATTCAATCCTTATTCGGTTTACATACGTATAAGATACAACAATGAAAACAATAAATAAGTCGGCAGTACACAAACATCTTTCGCGCTCTTTGACTTTTTCAAATCGCACAATGTTTCTCAAAAAATATCAATTCGAACAACGGTGTAACGACACATTAACTACTGTTCGTTGTCCACTTTGTTTTAACAAATGAGATAAAAAAGTTAATATTACGTTTAACGACTTAACAAATTATTTTACACTATGGTGGGTGCTTGCAATATCGCTGGAGCTCTTCGTACCTTCAGTGCTTCAGGGCTCATGGCGCGTCTTTGTTTTGCAATTTGATCATAGTCATACATAACTGCCAGACCCCCATCTTGACTCACTTTACGCGCGAATGTTTTACTCTGAGATGAATTAATAGGTCTTTCACGATCCATGGTGCTAGCACTATTGTAAAAGGCATCGGCAGCGATACTACCTTCTTCGACTTCCTGACGATATTGACGATGCTTAGCTTTCAGGGCGGAATAAACCCCTACTGAAATAAGTAAAAGGAGGAAAAGTAATCCGACTGCAGTTGCTGCAGCTATCACTCGCATTTCCGTTGGGTCACGAACTATTAGTTTTAGATTTGTAGAATCTCTTCCTTTCTCACTCTCTACTATTAAAGTGTAAATCCTTGCATCCTCCTTTTGCAGATCCTTTATCTCAAGCTTTGCCCAGTAACAATTAGTCACCATTTTGTTCTCTATTATTGGCTCCAATGGCAGTGCTTCATACTTTGGATTGATACTCTCACCTGTGATGTACAACATTTATTATATGTATAGGTATGTTGAGGAACAGAAACTATTGTTTCTTTCTATAAAAATCCTTCGTTACCTGCTCTAATGTGAGAACTACCCCATTGCCATGCAACAAGTCTTGGTGGCGGTCGTGAACAGAATCTTGATTTTAATCTATGAACAGCTTCACCGGCCCAACCGACAGATTCGAACAGACCCTTTTCACCGGAAGAAGGTCTTGTTTGTATTTCCGGTGGCCCAGTGACGTGTAATACGAAACGTGCTTCGTTTGACATCTCTTGGCGCACTCCATTGATAATATTAAAAGCCACACAACGATATTCTCCTTCATCAGACCACATCACGTTCTCTAATCTTAAACGTCTCCCAGCATCCTTATTGTGCGCCAAATTTTGAATCATTTCCGTAGTCCCACCTCTCAAGTGGACCCATCTGTACTGTGCAGGAGGATTTGCTTCGTATTCTGGACATTCAAACGGCTCCAAATTTGATCCTAGTAAAGCAGCTTCTTCAGTCTCACCAGTAACGTTTCTAAGTTGATCCTGATCTTTTACTTTTAATATCGGCGCAACTGCAGAGACAATAATCAATAATATTAGCCATTATGGACCGTATGAAAATTGAAAAACCGTATTCTCTATGAAAATATCTACTCACATTGAACATCCAGTCTATAATTAGCGGGTGGACTCTCACCAATAGCATTTAAAGCTTTACACGAATATAATCCAGCATCCTCTTTCTTAATAGGCTCGAATCTTAATTCGGATCCTGACACAGTTTTATTTGATTCAGAATGATCTTGCGCTAACAGTACAATATTATTTGAGGTTAAAGAAACAGAGTCCTTGAACCACTTGATTGTAGCTGGAGGGTTTGCATCAGCGGTACACTTTAGGCTCATAAAACTAGCCGAGTCTACCAGAGCTGCAGTAAGAACTCTGGGACTGGTTTCCAGCTTGACCTCCGGTGAGTCTGTAAATTATTATCCCATGAGTTTCACTAATAATGATCACTCTTTATTTTATCTTACAATGAATATCCAGCCTGGATTCTGCACTTGATGGCAGCGAACTTGACGGATGCAAAGTCAGACATCTTATAGGTAGACCATGATTTTCCCTCTGTCCGTGGACACGCAGAAGACTATGAGCTGCCCAGGTCTTAGGACTGTCTACCTCTGTAGCATTTGTTTGATCTCTCAAAGGCTCCACTTCCTCACCACCTATAAACCTAAGTATATTCGAACATGAATTTGCATGGTTTGAAGAAAGAGTTGCAAAGCTTATACCAACGTTTTTCATTATCGGTGTCGAGTTAGAAAAATATATTACAGTATACATTCTGACGTGATTTTTTCGATTCACGGTCAAGGCTACTCCGGCTACCGATACAGATAACGTTCTCGATTTCTGGTCCCCTTCGGATCACCACCCTGCTCAGAAGCTACGCTTTCGGGTTGATTCGTATAGTTAAGTCATTGCTCTCGTATGATTTCGTATTGTGTAGTTGAAGTCGAGGTGCTCGAATCTGCCGTGGGGAGATAGTCTCGACGTATCCAGTTGCCCGGCAGAGGAGAGTACCCGACGGAGACGTCTCCACGGATCGGCAGAAGCCCGGGTGAGATACCGGCGCCCCGCTGGTCTCCAGCTTCGAAGGTTTTGATACGGTTAAGGGCAGAGGAGGAACCCCCTGGCCCGAGTTAAGGATGTGGTGCCCAGCTGTCGCCCGATGCCCTGGGGAAGCGGCCGTGGAGGATCTCCACAGGTGTTACGTACCGATTCGCTAAGGAACGCTCCCGATTTGGTTTAAAGGGACGACTCGAGGGAGATGGAAGAGTTATCGGCTGTAAGGATCTCGACCAATCAGATGATCAGAATGATTAGTTCTCGAATTTGGCTATTTTGTCAAAGCAGTCTGTCTCGGGACACTGACCGAGGTGTCACGAGTTGCATCGCGCTCCCGTGCTATCTGTTGATAGTTTTTCTAGCTATATTTCGATACATTGTAGCAAGTTCTCGCTTGTGTAGTTCTCGCGATATCCAGAAAATTCTATGGATTTTCTGTGAATATTCCGGAGGTGTAATGCTGTGCCCTAGTGCAGTGCCCACCCGAGTGTCCTCTGGATACCGTTCTCGGCCTTCACGGATTAGCTGCACCAGCTCCGGTGAGTCTCCCAATTTATTAATTGGTGAAAGGATTTCGATTTGATAGTTCAGATTCGTTCTGTTACGTTCTCGATTCGTTGCTCGCGCACTATTTGCTTGATTCTTACTTCGACCCTCTCTAGCTCAACCTAACAACCTGAGCGGTCGTGCGTTTCCGTAACCGTCCGCTCCCGTTCGTGCTTCCAGTTGCGTTTGCTGATTTTACGCGTCCCCAAAAATCTACAGGGTCCGTTAAGTTATCGTCTCTTCTGATATACTCCGTCAGACTCTCGTTTTAGCGGAGTTGGACCTGTTCCATCCCAACTTGCAGGTCATACCGGCTCGTCAGTTCCCGGTGAAAAAAGAATAGGCTGGCGCCCGCCTGACTTTCGGATGCACGAGCGAAGGGTGGACGGCCGAAGGTAACGTAGGTTGGTTCTCGAAAATAGTTCGTTCTCGGATTTTTTCGCTATCGGTGTCGAGCTAACAAAAGATACGTTACAACATATAAGCTTGCAGGTAATGGGCTCGGCTCAAGACTGGAACCGATTAGGAATTACGCTCCATAGATTGTCAGTCGAAAGAGTAAATGACATAATTTAAATACAATCCGGCAAGACGAGTATATTATGTTAAAGAAAGGTGCGTGGACTCTGTGCTCGCCCGAGTTCATATTAGGTAAATTTAGATAAGGAGTGGCAACGGCCGTCAGAGCGTGAAATAAAAAAAAGAGAATTCTTGGAGAGCCCTTGTGGCTGCATAAAGACTGCGTTACGGATTCTTGGTTCTCGCGGCGCTGCTCGAATATAAACTTGCAGATTGCCAGTGCAATAAAATTCTTTATTCCTATAGGTTTTATTAACTTTTCTTTTGTGAAAATATTTCTCCTGGCATTTTAACACAGACGATTTGTAATAGTTGAGAACAAAGTATTTCATTTCGCGATTATCCAAAATTGGCAGTTTATGAGATATTTTAAAAATAAAAAAAAAATATCCGTTCCAGGTAGCCTACGTGCTTACCTGGGGCACATTGTACACGCGGCTTAAAGCATAATTTGACTAGGGACGTTAAAGATGCTTGTCTTATGGTATATGACTCATTAGCGTACTTGTACTTTTAGACTCAAAATTAAATGCTCTTCTGATTTCTAAAAGGAAAATGGCATTATCCCATTGAAAAAATGTATATAACTGCAAGAGATTCTAAAATTTGTATAATTATTTACCACTTTATAAGAGCCGGCGGATTCCCGTATCTTGAAACGCATGATAAAACAGCTTCCTGACCCTCCCTCAGTGTCAAGGAATTAGTCAATACAACACCACCGTACTCAATACGTGGTTGCCTGGGTTTTACTGTAAGAAACGTTGAGATTGATAAAAACTGTAAATTCCAAAGATTCCTAAAATATCGAAAGAATGACAAACGGCTCTTTCATATCTTAAATATTTCTTACCTCTAACAAGTAAACGAGCGGGCAACGAAGTTAATGCATCCTGCTGTGTAAAATCACCAGGTGTAACCTGACATTCCCAGAGACCATCGTCAAAGTCAAGAGATGCTCTTCTGATAAGAAGAGTGCAATCGCTCTCTCGTCCTCCTGCCCACTCATACTTATCCGGATGCATTCCAACAGGTTTACGATCCTTTTGCCAGATGCAATGTCCCCTCTTATCCTGGACTCTACAGCGCAACTGGACATCGTCTCCAGACGAGACCTCCTGGTATGTCGAGGGCGTCTCCGAAAATCTCTGCTCGCCATAGCACACTTGACTCGTCAGTAAAATCAAAATCACAATCCCAATACAGTTCTTCATCATTCTCACAGCAAGGAATACTTTTCCCATCAAACTTATCTTCTTCGTTTTTTTTGAAAACGACCCATTAAACCGTATCTAATGGTAACAGTGAAACGTTCAACGGTTGACTTATTTTGCGAAAGCACATCTCGAAAATTATAGATCCTCTCCCATTGCTAAATTACTATGTTTTAGTCCACCATATAATATTACACGACGTATTATCACAATCAGCCCAACGACTCGAACCAACCGGTACTGTTCTCCGACCTGCAATGTATAATACAAAGAATAATTGTAACTATATCGAAACTCTAGTGCAACCATATGCTCTTGTTTATTTCATACTTAAAATTCCTAACCACTCGTCATTCCCTCCTTGCATGGGTTTAAGGACCAGCTTTAACGTGCTGCGATAAGCATTTTCTTTTATAGAATCCAAATGCTCTCAGTAAGATTATATTCCAGTTAGGTACCTTTAATATAAAATAGAAATATATTACAAATTATATTAATCTTAATACATCACTGATAAATACCCGATATGATCTTTGTTAGCACGAAGAATGACATTGCGACAGTATAGTCTCTTTATTAATAATTCGTATTAATTATATTAATTGATTACTCAAAAACTTACTCTCAATCCTCACGTTACTCTACACCAGTAGCTCCCATAAGATTTGCACAAAAACGGTATCTGTATTTAAGTAACAAAAGCACCGCAAAGAAGAACTGACCAAGAACGAAGAAAGATCTGGGACAAACACAATGCTAGGAGCACGCAGTGGAACTGAACTGGAGTTAAAGCCAAAGCCTCCCGGCGAGGCTCTGCTGGAAGCGGAAGACGCGGACCCCAAACACGTACCCATGCGTGCGTATCCAACCCTGTCTCCTCTGCTGCTATCCTTATTATTCGACCGTGTTATCATTACGCCATGCTACGCTAAGTTTTGCTAGATATCTGTCCAGTGTTTTTCATATGCAGAATAGCGAACACCCTGCAACTGTCGAATCAAACCCAGGACATGTTTTACTGGTCAGACCCGTTGAACGCGACCTGGATCTTTTCCACCTACAAAATTGTATTTATTACTAAAGAAGTACGGTAATACTTCTGTCGGTTCCTGTAGTCAAAGAGTTCCGACTGTGGGTCAAATTCCATAGTGTCCGTTTTGAATGCCTTTGAAAGACCTTCTTCATGGCTGATAGGATTTATTCGGATAAGGCGACGGGAATGGTGGTGTATCGTATGTGATTTCCTGGATGGGAGTCATCGTTTATACTTTGCTAAGTTCCTGGGTCTCGATGAATTCTATAACTGTGGGAGGAATAGAAGTATCAAGTATTTTAACTGTTGGAAAGTTACTCCTTAGCATGATAAAAGTTCCAATTATAAACCTCATTATTGTTAAGTGCAAATGACGTGGCTCCGTTTTACATATGTTCTCAAACTTGTATACGTTATGAATTGAATGTACGTTAGAATAATGGAGTAAATATTGAAGACTGATAGCTATCGTTATATTACTCTGTGTAATTGTTCCACTGGAGGTAAAAGTTAGTCTTCCTCTGGAACCTCGTGCGGTCCAAGTATGCGAAGACTGTCTTGACTTTCTACGCTGCTGTTTTCTGCCGGGGATAGACGATTGTAGGAATTTCACATGATATTCATTAAAAAGCAGAATCACTTGGTGCACCGTATGAAGAATACAGTTTGTCTTTAAAGCCGGTATATTATTGTTACGAAAGAGATGCTTTTTCTATATTGAAAATCAGTATTTACGTTTCGGAGAGTACTTGAAATATGTCATTAATTTTTATGAGTTCTAAATGCGGTTGATTCTGGTTCTATAAGTCGTTAATATTGTTTCGAGCACCAGGAGTACATTATTCCAAGTGGTTTCTTTGAACGCTCTGGCGGGTATGGTGAGAAAGTACGAAGCTTCGTTTTGTCTCACGGAAAGTCGATCTGGTGGGGAATCGACTAATCGCAGAAATTGAACTTCTTTCGGCTCGTTGCTAAGCTCAGAGCTATTGTGAACAATGGCGACGTTTCGTCGGAAGTGACATCCTTTCGATCAAATGTGTTTTTACTTTGTAACTTTAGCGTTCTCTGTAGATATTATTTACCGCCCTTAGGCATTAGTCTTAACGAATTTGCTGTATACGATGGCGATGAACGCGAACGCGCTGTCCAATGACATAAGTCGACGAAATCCGCAAGATGAGTACGAGCTCATCCAGAGGATAGGCAGTGGGACTTACGGAGATGTTTATAAGGTTTTTATCTTATTTGTGGTTTGGATGCGTGGCTTTTCGTGTATCTCATGTGTAATATCTACTATTTTTACAGGCGAAAAGACTCTCCATGAACGACCTCGCTGCCATCAAAGTTATTAAATTGGAGCCAGGTGAGTCAATCTGCTGTCATTTAGAATGTTGCCCTCTGCTTTCTCAGAAATTCATGGATTTAATACTTCTAATTGCTTCCTTATATGCTCCCACGAACTCTTTTGTATCAAGACGACAAATTAATTATGAGGATCTCACATGCGATCTATGAAAGTTTCAGTATTTAAATATTCTGTTTGTTTTGTGTGTTATACTTGAAAAGATGCTGTTTATAGTCATGATTAAACAGTCCATTTCAATTATATTATTGACAGGTGTGTCAATATCAATGAAAAAATAGTATTATTAAATATTTATCTGTACAATATTTGTATCACAATCCATATTGATTGCAAATAGATTTGAATAGTGGCAATACAGTTCTATCACACTCCAATTAAGGATATAAAATAAGGAATCAGGTTTGAAGAATTATTTCTTTTCTATTTGATAGCAGGCATACGTGTTTTAGGTGATGATTTTGCTATTATTCAACAAGAGATCTTAATGATGAAAGATTGTAGACATTCTAATATTATTGCATACTACGGAAGCTACCTCCGAAGAGATAAGCTTTGGATATGTATGGAATATTGTGGGGGTGGTTCACTACAAGATATATATCATAGTAAGTGGAGAGTGTCACGTGTTCAAAGAAATATATCAGAGAAATGATGAAATGGACATGGTCATACTTCATACGTTAACTTTATTTTCAGTAACTGGTCCATTGACTGAAATACAAATAGCGTACATGTGTCGCGAGACTCTCCTTGGTCTGGCATATTTGCACAGTATGGGAAAAATGCATCGTGACATTAAGGGCGCAAACATTTTATTAACAGAATCTGGGGATGTTAAATTAGCAGATTTTGGTGTGTCAGCACAAATTACAGCAACCATTAATAAAAGAAAGAGCTTTATCGGTACCCCATATTGGATGGCCCCTGAGGTATTATCAGGTTCAATGAAAATAAAAAATAACTACACTTTTTGTTTTAATGTGACTGCATATCAAAATAATATTACTTCATAGGTTGCAGCCGTAGAGAGAAAGGGTGGTTACAATCAATTGTGTGATATTTGGGCTTGTGGGATAACAGCAATCGAATTGGCTGAATTACAGCCACCGATGTTCGACCTACATCCAATGCGAGCCCTTTTTCTCATGTCCAAATCTGGCTTTAAACCGCCAACATTAAAGGACCGTGATAAATGGAGTCCCACCTTTCACAATTTCGTCAAGGTTGCGCTTACCAAAAATCCGAAGAAAAGGCCAACAGCTGAAAAACTATTACAGGTTTCTCTAAATTAAAATTTCACATGTAAAAATTATGTTTTGCTTAAGCATAAAAACGAATCCAACAGTTTTTCTTTTAAGTATCTTATAGTAATTGGCTAAGACATAACATAACTTTGATGCTTTTAGCACGCATTTTTCCAAGGCGATATGAACAAAAGATTAGCGTTGGAATTACTGCAGAAAGTATCCAACCCTAGTCATATGTTTGCCGAACTTGAAGCAGACGAGGATGGGGCAGTACCAAACGTTCCACAAAGAATCGCATCAAGACACACAGCAAGGCCCAGGCCAAAAAGTCCCATTCCTCAACTTGATAGCGATGGTAATTTAAAAATCTATATTTTCAACAATTGTAAAAAATTAGTATCATTTTACTTCCTAACTGTGAACAAAATGAATATCAATCACAGATCAAATTAATCTTGATGGTGGAACCTTACAAAGGGATTCAATATCACCCATGGTCGACAGCAGTCCAGCATGGGATATCATGGATATAATGAATAATGTAAAGGTAAATTTTTTTTCAATCAATAAAATCAATTTCAAATACCATTTCCTGAGTATTACGCAATTATATGAAAGGAGGGAAATAATGAATATTTTAATGAGATTTTTAAATCTCTTTCTAGACTGTCCATAACTGTGATGTACATCCAGACTGTGGAATTGGTACTGCGTTCGAGGACGTGCAAGAAAAGTGAGTGATCTAATTCATTAAATAAAGTATTATATAGAAGTAGTCAGGTATGTTGAAAATCGCGGGGAGGGCTTAAGCATCTCATTCATTTCCACTAATATGGTGATTGCTGCCTTGCTTCCAGTATAAGGATTTCTTGTCCTTCTTTTATACTTTCCGTATGATGTGGTGATTATGGTTCGTGAAACACTTACCAGTATTGCATAACTATTAGCATTTTACGTATTTACGCAGATGGTTTCTTTATCAGGCGATAGCATTGTAATTCTTTTTATTTATTTTTTTATCGCATTAGAAACAACAATCTCTTGATAACGATTCAATGAGATAAAATTACTTCAAACTATCACAGAGGATAGCAAGTTCTGATAATAATAAGCTTCTAATACCGTACAATTTGTAATGAATTTTGAGCAATGCAGCAATTTCATGCAGTTATAGTACAAATGCTGTTCAAGTCTGTTACGTTGCTGTCTGGCACGTGCTACTAAGATTGCACAAAGCACGTTTGCTTACGCTTATCTTATTGTGGATGGATAATTACAATTAAGAATGATTAATCGAAGCATTATTTATTTTGATAAGTTAGACATTTATAGCTCTTCAATTCACTAGACATCAAAACTAGAATTATTGATTTTCACATATACTGCACTATAGGGGATGCAAAATTGAGTACTGACTTTAAGAAGAGTTAATCTGAGTTTTTCTCAATGCTACGACAATATGTATGAAACACCAAATGCGATTTATAGCGAAAAATCAGTGAAGGAAACAAGAAGACCGAGAACCATATAGATGTTTGATGGGTGTATTTTCAAAAATGTATAGAAATTTAATGTTTTATTTTTGTATCAGTACACATGGCGCTAGTGCTACCACAGATAGTAGACTGTCGCGTCGAAGCAAAACTGGCACCGAGATATTTCATATGAGCCTCAGGTAATTTGCAAATCAGAATTTGCTTGGTGTGGAGGTGCCTTTACACGTGATCACTTATACAAACATAAAAAAAACGCCGAGTGCAATAACAAAATATTTTTATAAAAATGAAGGAAGCTTTAAAAGTTACGGTATGGTTTTATAACAGAACCAACGGAAACAACTCGTTAATTTTACTATTTCATTCATATACTGTGCAAATAAGTTGAAAATTGCACGTGTATACGCATGAGATTTTTATTGATTATATTTGTCAATCTTTTTACTAAACCTTAATGAACTATATTAATACAATACATGGGTTGAAGAAATTGATTAGGAAGAGTGCCTTTAAAATGATATAGCTTCTTGCTAAATTTACATATAATAGTCGTACCACTAATTTTGACTAATAATTTTAGTAAAACTAATAATAAATAAAAAAAATTGAATAATAAATCTTAGTCGCACGGTATTGCATGTTATAGATTAAAGAAAAAGTTAGTGTAAATGTGTATTTGTACTAGTGTCAGTAAGTATAATAATTTACTTTATTCTTTATTTATTAATAATTATCGTTTTCGTCGCCACGTGTGTAATATGAAATCGTTATATTTTTCTGGTACTCCATAAACACCATACAAATATACAATTATTATATAAACAATCATTTATCTATGGTGAATAATGGCGATTATAAGTATAGTCGGACCGCAACATCAGTTTGACTTTGAGAGGCCATCTCCTTAAGAATTGAACCGTAAATAAGTCCCCTCAAAATGGAACTGATGTCACGACCCGACTATATCTTCTGATATAAAACAATTACTTGATAGAATCTTAAATGCTTTAATTGATGCGAATGACTGATAACATTATTCAAATGATAAATTCATAGTTACACAGTGATGTGACAATGGAAAATATGTTGGCGATAAATTGTTTCCCAACAAATAGATTCTTGTAACCGGCCAATCTTTAATTAGTACTTCTAATCAATCTTCCACCCACCTATTTTTCTTCTATTAATTTTTCTTATTTGTCCTGAGTAGCCTTAATTTTTCTGATCAGTTTTGTAATTTTAATAATTTCTCCCAACAGGAGTCTATTGCAGTACATTGATGAGGAGTTGTTGCTAAGGTATTGGCAGGTAACCTTTTCCCTTGCACCTTGCACTTATGCTTCCTAATACTGCGCATTAAACTATTCATATATCCCATAATGTATTTAACACCTGCGATCAATGTACTTGCATCTCAGCTGGCCTACTTGCATATACTAGGTGGAATAATTTTCAATAATCACTGCATATCTATCTTTTTTTATTGCAGAACTCAACAATCGGCATGCTTAATATACAATTTTTATACAGCTTTTTTAAATGTATATATAGTTAAAAATCAGGTTGCATTTTTTAAATAGTTATGGAACTCTACACAGAGAGTAATAGTAAGAATACATATACTATAGAAGAAGATGAGCTTTCAGCATTATTGGTATTGCTGAAATTACAAAAGTTGTTGTCATTGTCACATAATATCTTAATGTCTATTGTATAATTGTTCTTAGATCTTTATGTCTCGCTACTATGTTGCATGTCAATATAAAGTCGTAAACTTGAACCCTTGTGCTAATAATTACATTAGTAGTGGAAATCAATGTATACATTAAAAAAAAAAAAGCAAGACAGACGGTATTGCGAAGTTGTAAAATAACGTAACCTGACTATTCCACAGCCTGGGGCTACGAATTCTTTCAAATCATTTACAAACCTTTCTTTTTTAAATTTTTACAACTTATGTTCGCACCAAGGACCAACAATGACTCTTGCGATTCCTTCCAAAACCTACCTGTGAATAGAGATACCTCTTACCTTTGAATAAATCGTTCTTTGTGAAAAAAAATCCAATGGGGTACTGCCAATAATTAAGATCTCCTTAAAATGAGAGTAACGCGAAATGCTTATTACAAAAATATGTAGATAATTGTCTGTAGTGTGTATGACCCCAGTTTCATGTGTGCAGGGGAAACGCAATGTCGATGGTTGGTGGGCATTGCGATCAGCTGTACTCCCTGCAGTAAGTAAACGAAAAATACTCAAAGTTTACTTCTTCCATGCGAATACGTTACACCAAGATAATATTTTTGTTCTCTCCCTAATATATATTACTTATTGTCACGTTACGTTCAAGCCAGTAGTATTTACTTTATATCAGACGTACCATATATCATTATTATATAATTTTTGTTTACAGTAGAAATCCACAAAGATTTCTTTTTTTATTACATTCATACAAAACATATAAAACTCATGTTGACAATAATATCCCATAATGAGCATAGCAATTTTTTAATTACCCATAGACCACATCATTGACAGAGAGAAATTCGTCACTGAGAATTACGACGTTATTTATTTATATTTTATTATCTCATGTCTTCTTTGCCTAAATAACATTTTATTTCACACGCTTGTCTCACCTCACTTTACAGAATAACCAAATCCCATCACATTTTGTAAAACTACTGTTGCTGTTCTATTAAATATAATCATCAAGGGTATTCGAAATTGCATAGCACGACTCATTTACTTATTAAATATCACAAAGATACGAGCTACGAATTAACTGTAATTAACAATTGTCGAATTACACGCGGGTCTATGGATTTGTACGTTGAGTTTCTTATATGTGTATCTTGGAAGATTTAATAATAATTTTGTTTCTTTTCAGAGCCACACTTCCACTCGGGGAGTCATCGAATGACTGTGAGATTCATCGGGGTTATTATACGAGCTTATCCGGTAAGCATGGAGACGACTTAATAATTTACGATAAAGGATATCGAGACCTTACGAAATTGAATTTTTTAATTTCTTAAAACACATCATTCGTCAGAAACACAGAAACACGTTGTTCACGTGCAAAAGATATTTAATTCGTATATCATTGATTTCACTGGCTTCGCTCTAAAGTGTTTGTACACCTTCAAGAAAAAATTGGAGTACTTACACTTTGTGATGTACCGCTGTAATTTGATTATGATTATGCAACCGTAACGTACTTGAGAATAAATAATACCAGTGGGTTCTTGTGCTTAATATTACACGTGCTCAGATACTAAACATTGTATAAGGTATCGATGAATGTGTATATACACGGTTTTCATGTGTGGTTTTTGATGTGTTGTCAATTGAACGATTGTGGAACTGTGCAGAGATCAATGCAATTTGATGGCTTAATACACGTGCTGTAAGGGTACGACAGACTGAGAAAATAATTGATTAAGAAAGTATGCTGATATATTGAAGTTCATCTGGTTTTGTAACAATGACTACTTCAATTGTTTACGTATGATTCGGTACTTGATGGCCATAAGAGATATAATCATTGGTTATACGTAAACTCGGATACTTAAAGGCTTTGAGAAACAAGTCAACAGCATGACTCGCAAACTAGAATTTAGTATATGAACCAGGACAAAATATATTTGATAATTTTTATTTTTGTGATCTCCAGTTATATAAATATGCACGAAGAAATAATTGGCGCATGTTTCATCTCCATGTCCTTAATAGTCTTTCTAATTGCAATACAAGTTCGTCTACAAATCAATAGGTATTGTGGTAAATGATAGAAAACTGTATTCCCTTTTTTTTTTCTTAGTTTCCTCTGAAACTTGACAAAGTCATTGTTAGATTTTTCATTCAGATGAATTATAATGTCACAGCAGTCCAAAGAGAAGCAAAGTACCTATGCCACGTAAAAGTATACAAAATATATATGATTTTAATGAATTATATTGAATAATTATCAAAAAGTAACATGAGGTGGCAGAGGGATTCTGTAGTCACGATGAAGAGAGCTGAATCGTTGATATTGGTTATTCGTTGTATCTAAGAGATAATTATTAATGCTGATTGCCCAAGCTGAATTTATTGTAAAGACTTACTGTTATACTTTTTAAAGAATTGGGCTCTCTTCTCTGCATCATAAAACTAGCCAGTAGTGTACAAAGTAGATTGGGTGTATAGGGTCACAAGCGAGTCCCAGGCGTCACAGCTCTGTGGACGAGTTGTATGGCCTGGTGAGTGGTTCCCTGTCCTTAGCAGCCGTCAATGGGCAACGTCAACGATCGCTCTCGGACAGTGGCCCGAGGGACGAGTCCCCACGCTCTAATGGTAGGAGCACGCATCTTGAATTTAGAGCATGAATCGAGCTCTGTCACCGAACACAGGCATCCTTAGTCGCAATAACTTTTAGAGAATCATTTTAATGAGCTTGCACGGAAAAACTTGAGAGCATGTATCGAAGCATTAGGCATAACACGTATTTTTGCATTTATTTGCAAATGAAAAAAAATATCGAGCGTTCACTGTCTCATTTCGCAGATTTAAGTTTCATTGTCGAGTCTTTTGTGCTTTGGCAGAGATCAATTGTATTTGGTTGTTCGCGTTACTGATATACATGAAGTTTCATTATTTAATTTTTTTTGCTTCACATTTTTTCTTAGGTTACTCTGAATTTTTCTGTGCATCAGCACTCTTGACATTTTAATCTTGCTTCTTGCCTAATTCATGGCTTGCTGTGTAAGGCGACGGCATTCATTATCTCAGATTGCGGATGTGCTGCTGTGTTCTATAAAGAGATTTTGAAATTTTTAGGTGATAACGAGGTACCCGTTCATGGAGATAGGGAGAGCATTGGTCCGGATCTGTTATCAGACACACCTCCTGTACCTCCAAGAAGAAGGGACAGGAAGAGGCATACACCTCCGAGGCCTATTAGTAATGGATTACCGCCAACGCCAAAGGTCCATATGGGAGCATGTTTTTCAAAGGTCTAAGTCATTTTTGTTTTTCTCAAAATGGATAACGGCAATTCATCATAGACCCCATTGGATTGCATAGTGTTTACTGTCATATTATTCGTGAAAGGTATTCAACGGCTGTCCGTTGAGGATACATTGCACTGCAAGCTGGATTCATCCTGATACAAGGGATCAGCACCTACTCATTGCCGCCGAAGAAGGAATTTATAATTTAAATCTTAATGAACTTCACGAGACTGCTATTGATCAATTGTACCCAAGGCGTACAATATGGATGTATGTTATTAAGGACGTTCTAATGTCCCTGTCTGGTAGGATATTACGATTCCTTTTTAAAAAATGTATGCAGTCTGTTTAAATCGTTTATTATTTTTTTTTGTGTTGATTCAATTTCTAGGGAAAACGCCACAGTTATATAGGCACGATCTTTTAGCAATGCAAAGCAAGCAAACACATAGGTTTTCGTTACACATGAATAAAATTCCAGAAAAGTTAGTGCCTAGGAAGTTTGCCCTTACGACTAAAGTGCCGGACACGAAGGGATGCACGAAATGTTGCGTGGGAAGAAATCCCTACAATGGGTAAGATTTAACAGTGAAAAAAAGAAAAATACATGAGTTATTAAGAATGAAAGCTAATATGTTCTTTTTTTTTTAAATAGGTACAAATATCTATGTGGCGCCATGCCAGCTGGTATATTTCTAATGCAATGGTATGACCCCCTGAATAAATTTATGCTTTTGAAACATTATGACTGTATATTACCATGTCCGCTCAATGTCTTCGAAATGGTAATTACACCAGAGATGGAATATCCCATGGTGTGTGTGTCCGTAAAACAGGCATACCAACAAAATGAACTTAAATTGGATCTCATTAATATGAATTCCGGGGCCAGCTGGTTTCATAGCGATGAACTGGAAGTCATGGATGGTTCAGGTATTTTTTGGAAATTACAAATAGCTAATTAACGTTTCATTGATTTTTCATAACCTATGTTCGGTTTCATGCCAAACTTTCATAATTCCAGCGACAGTGATTCCAAGACGTGAAAATCTTCAAGTGATAACTGTTACTCAGCTTGAAAAAGATGCAATCCTTGTGTGTTACGATAGTAAGTATATGGCTTGAAACTGTAAGTTATTTTTTTGTTATTTGATATAACATACGCGTTTGATCCTCCAGACGTCATTAAGGTCGTTACGTTACAAGGAAAACCGAGAGTCAGCAAGAAGCAAATGTCAGAATTACATTTCAATTTTCAAATTGAGTCGATAAGTATGTTGACATCCATAACAGTCACTTTGCTACTTGATTAACGATGCACAAAAGTACAGTGGGAAATATTTATTGCTTTCAGTTTGTTTGCCAGACAGTGTATTGGCATTTCATAAGCACGGTATGCAGGGAAGAAGTTTAAAAAATGGAGAAGTAACGCAAGAAATTAGTGATCCAAGCAGGACGTATAGATTATTGGGTTCTGATAAGTAAGTAAATTGTTCAGTATATATTGATTCATTTCATGGTACAATATCTAACGTATTTATTGTCTTCGACAGGGTTGTGATGTTGGAGAGCCATTTGGTTCATACAGGAACATTAACAGAATCAGAGGGAGCAGACTTGTACATACTTGCAGGACACGAAGCCAGCTACTAGGATATCCAAGCTAAGACTTAGCCAGAGGAGAATACATTTCTAGCATAAAAATTGATATGATAATTCAAGCCGCAAGTAAATTATTATAATTTGCTAAGATTGCACGTAAAATATAGTGACTGTAATAGAGATAGTGTTTACATCGTTATGTTATTATTCTTTCTTTTCTTCTGTCAAATGAAAATTAATGACTTTCCTTAAGAAAGATTTTCAAGTAAAGAGAATGTGACAGTATTTGCACGCCTAACTAATTATATAACTGATTCGACATAATCTCTGTGCAGTCTCTACGATATAGACTATTTAATTGCTAGAATAGTAAGGATAAATATTAACTAATTCAAGCAATCCTGAAAGTAATTTAAGCTTGTCTCGGTTATAATATGAACGACGCGTTTATCGTTCCAAATTTATCTGGATATATTTAAATTTATTTTCAGGATATATCTTGTCATCAACATAGTTAATATTAATAACAAAAGGATGATCGTTGTATTGTTGCAAACGCGCATAGATCAAAGATGTGATCGGCTTTAAGACTGGGACAAATGCAATCTCCTCTTTTGTGTGTTAGATTTTCTCGTTACGGAGAGCCTAGAGTACGAAGGAAGAGTGCTGGATCACTTGAAAGGAATGGGGAAAAAAGGAGTTTCTTAGTAAGTTACACTAATATTATATTAGCTGAGACTCGACGTTTCATCAATATAACAGATCAAAATAGAATTTCCTATATAGCTCTTGAGAAGACAATGTTTACAGGTATTAATGTTATGACCAGCGCTATTTAATAATTACATTTGATTTTGTGCCAAATGAACGAATTCATACGAGCTTTTTTAATTCGCGCTTGAGCCACACATAGTTTTGGACGCCAAGGAATATTGGTCTTTTTTCTTCTTAGTGAACACGCATAATTGTCAATGATTTTTTTTTGTTAAATCCGGATTTGATCGCGTCAAAGGAAGCTATCAAGCTCTGATACATTTTAATCAGAATAATTTACTAGTAGAGAATAATTATCTTTTGATATTTGACTTAACTTTTTTTTGTTACATTGCATATTGTATTGTCTGAGGATATGAGTGTGTAAGAATATAGTATCTAGCACTTTTCTGCCTGCTTTTAAATCTTTAGATTATTATGGGGAATTAACGAAGGGAATCGATTTTGTGGATGGAGATGATTATTGTGGAGCTGTTAAATATTTGGGGTTTTTATATGAAAATTTTTTCTCTGTAAATAGAATATAAATTGCTAAAGAAAGTATTACGTTATTCAAAATTTAATCGATTAATGAAATGTAAGATTTGACTGCTTACTGTTTTGTGCTAAATTTTATGAACTTAAACTGTCAAGGTGCCTGGAGCATAAATGGTGTAAGTCACTTCAAAAGATTATTTAACTCAAAATTTAAAACTCCTGAGTGACGTCTTATATTCTCTGAATATACGTCGACTAGTTAATAATATTTTCATTTAATTTTTTTATCGCATACTTTATTTATTGATCAAGACATTTGTGCAAACTAAAGATTGACTTAAATTCAACTGCTGCTCGTGAAACAAATAAAAGGCAATAACGGAAGACTTAAGGCTTTGTATATTTAGATATACAAAGATACATTTTTTGTATAATAGAAACATGTCGTATTCTGTTTTGGTTCGCTATTAAAAAACTACAAGACTTACACCATGTATGCTGTGCCCTCAGTATAGAAAGCATGTGTATAATACATAATGTTTTAAGAATTAATAGTGAGGCTGCATTTATTAACAAATTAAGTTTACTTGCTAATTACAAGTAACAATCCACACTTTGAGGTGACGTATAAGTAGGATTTTATCTCTTCGTCGATGAAAAGATAGCGTAGCTCCTTGTAATATAAAATGAGTATCCTAGCTTTACCTCACAAGCAAACACCAAATTGAACATTCAATCAAACATGTTGCATCAATCAAATCATGCTAATATAATCTAACGTGCACTACAATTTAGTAAAAACATTTAAATAATCTCTGCGCGAGAATAGAAACAGCAATGTCTTCCCCGTTCTGAAATTATAATTAGAACTGTACTAACTAAATATTTCTCTATGAAATTTTTAAGCATTTTGAAGCATCTCAAAAGCCTCTCTCCTCTTTGAATTAAACGATACCATAATTACGAGTGTATAGATACCACTTTCTTCTGTATTTTCTGCGATAATTAAGCTCTGCAATTAAGTACTAGGTCAAGGAACATTTATCCTTGTAGGACTTTGAAATAGCAATTGATCGATGTTAAACTATTTTTGGCCATACATATCCCAATACACAAAGAAAAAAGAGATTAAAACGCATCGTATTCACGAATAACGAAAAACTGATAAGTATTTAGTGGCTGTGAAATTATTGAGAGTTGGTCCCAAAAGTCTCGTCGTTTCAATGCTAATTCTCAGCCGGATTAGAGGAGCAGTATGAAAGATGTAACTACGTTTATTGAGAATATCTATCTTCCCATTCCCATTGTTGATCACTACGTTTGTAGCGGTATACGAAATAAGAAAATCTTAAACATTCATCCAGAATACAGTCTTGCTGTTTTAAAAAGTTATTCTCAACAGATAAAATTAACGTGTAACTAAACTGCACATGAATTTTCAAGCACGAACGAGGAGAATCTCACATTTATAATTTATGTTGCGTTTAATGCCTACACCGGTCGAGGGTATTGTCTTCTTCTTTTCTATTGTTGATCGGCATATTATTATAAAAGCGTTAATGAATTCTTTCATTGTTATGGAGACAATAATTTTAGTCACAAATTAGTGTTTCGCCTGAACGAGTATAAAAGAAAGTTATATTGTGGAAATGGATGCGATTGATGGAATGTCGAATGTAATACGCAATACGCAATCAAGTATGGCTTTTATTATCTCGACCAATTGTAAGACATGAATTATGCTATTTAAGGAAATACTCCACTAATGCAGGTCGCACATATCCATATTTTGCTCATGACCACAGAGTTTAACGACAGTCTATATATCGAAATTTTCATCTGTATTATTGAACTTACAATGAAATAGTATGGTTTATAATATATCTCTGTAGAATTTATAGAGACATTCATAGGTAGGCAAATTAGTGCAGCGATAAAACGTACCTGTCCGCACTGACCAGATTTGTGGCTTTGCCTCAATATATCTATTGCGTGTTCTTACTAGTTGATTATTGTCTTTCTTTACTCATTCTCATATCTACAATATTGCCGATTAATAGTATCTCAAGAGAATTTTTATTATTCACGTTGATTTAATAATTGAGAAGGTGCTGATTACTATTTTAAAATACTCGTAGTGTCTCTTTAAATTTTTCTGTGGAGCTTATATTTTGTTCTCTTACACTCATAAACAGTACCAAATGCAACAATTTTGTTCACGTATTAGCCAGAGTATAGGGAGGCAAATGTGAAAATATTTTATGAGGCAAAACCCATAGATTAGATGGAAAGAGAATTTATATTTAATAACGTCTCAAGACGCAAAAGAGAGACACGAATTGGACGAGAATGTAATACATATATAAATGTATAATAATATTAATGATTTTGAATTTCGTTAGATCTTGACATTAGCAGAAATTATAAATTGATCCATCAATATGTCAATAGCGTGTTGTTAACCAAAGCTTTAGCCACGAATAGAGAACACTGAATAAAATTATTCTTACAAACGAGTGGAGTTCTAAACTTATTGAACAAATATACTGTAGGCACAAGAAGTTTCTGGAGATGATGCTGTTATTCAATGAATTGATTTTCTATCCTTTGCTACTTTATAATAACAGTATTAATGAAATTCCTATAATCATTTAATTATTAACACTGTTCATTAAGTTCGTCTCATACAAGAGAAACAATATGGCTTTGTTTGCGTACAGCAACAGCTACAGAAACTCCTTGCAATTAGAATAAAAATTAATATATTCTTCATATTCAAATCGTGGAGTAAAGCAGTGAGACGATCTTAGTTATAGAGAAGAAAACATAATAATAGATGACATAAATAATGAATAATGATTGAAGAAACAATTTAAGCAGTTGTACATAATGTGCATAACAGTGATAGCCTTTGGTTCACAGAATTTTTGTTCTAGCAACTTTTTATAAATACATTATTGTGAAAATAATTTATTATCATTAAGTATTATTTATTTACTCGTAATTATTTAAAGATGACTAGCCAAAACTTCTGTAAATAGACGTATCTTATAATAAAACCTACCCCACAATACTTTATCTGCATTTTATCTTCAATAGTCGATCTCCACCTCTCTGCAGATTACATTTCTGTTCTCTATATTCTCTTCTACCAATTTTTTAAATTTAAACTTTTTTAATAAGTCGATAAAACAAATTGTGTTCGACCACGTTGGTATATACTTACCGGCTACTCCGATTCGGCAAACCATGTTTTTCTTTTTCTTATACCCGGTATCGCTATTTAACCTATATAATCTGTTATGTTACTACAAGAGTGTTTATTGTAAATATTAAGTATTTTACAAAACAATCTAATTGTTTTTCAACAATATTTATGCAATAAGTCGCTTGATGATCTAACTATCAAATGAGTGTTATCAAAATGTTTCGTTCATTAAGAAAATGTTTAATTAAGGGCAAAACAATTGATGTGTTTGTTCGGCAATACTATGGTGAAGATGTTCCACCAAAATTAAGAACAATGCAAAGTCGACATTATTCAATAGACAATACTTCAGAATTAAGGAGCAAACAACCATCTTTGTTTCAACAATTATCTGCTAGAATTATGGCATGCGGCCCTATTACAGTGGCTGATTACATGAAGGAAGTTTTAACTCATCCAACGGCTGGCTATTATATGAATAAAGATGTTTTTGGAGAAAAAGGGGACTTTATAACATCCCCTGAAATTACTCAGATTTTTGGAGAAGTTAGTTACATTTTTGTGAAGTTTCTACATTTGTTATTTATTGCTGACTTTAAATATATCAGATATACTTTGCAGATGTTAGGAGTTTGGATAATTAATGAATGGAGCAAAATTAGTAGAGGTCCATTTCAACTTGTCGAATTAGGACCTGGAAGAGGAACCTTGTCAAAAGATATTTTAAGGGTAATTTATAGCTTTCGTAATAGATACTAGTTTAAATGTCAATATCTATTTGATATTTAATGAACCAAGATCTTAATTGCCAATTATAGGTATTTAAACAACTTAAAATTATAGATAAAGTGTCACTGCATTTAGTAGAAGTGAGCCCAACATTGTCAGCTATACAAGCAAAAAATTTATGCACATCTACCGAGGAAGTAAATCCTCTGACAAATAAAAATGGGGAAAATTCAATTTCTCATTATAGGAAAGGCATTACTAATGATGGAGTGAAGATTTTTTGGTATTATTCAATAACTGATGTACCCAGAGATTTCAGTATCTTTTTAGCACACGAATTCTTTGATGCATTACCGATACATAAATTTCAGGTAATAACTAATATTGAAGATAATTGTACAATTGAAGGTTTATTTCGAACTAATTTCATATTATTTTATACAAGAGAACAAGTGAAGGATGGAGAGAAGTTTTAGTGGATATAGATCCAGTAGCCAATAATCAAGAAAAGTTCAGATACGTAATATCAAGGATGGCGACACCTTCAGTAAAAGCTTATGTATCTGTAAGGAATAAATTACTTTCACTTTTATTACTTGAAATTAATAAGAATTTTAGAAGGTGCATTTTATAGGAAAATGAACCAAGAGATCATTTAGAAGTCAGTCCACAGAGTATAGTTATTGCTGATCACCTGTCTTCGTTTTTATATGAAAATGGAGGATTTGTATTGATTGCTGACTATGGACATGATGGTGAAAAGACAGATACTTTTCGTGCATTTCGTCAACACCAACTGCACGATCCATTAATTAATCCAGGAACTGCAGACTTAACTGCGGATGTTGACTTTTCGCTGTTCAAGCGAATTGCAAGCAATGATAATAAATTGATAACCTTTGGTCCAATCAATCAAAGAGACTTTCTTAAACAACTTGGAATTGATATACGTTTGCAAATGCTTTTGAGAAATGCCCCAGAGGATCAGAGAGATCAAATTCAATCTGCTTATCATATGATTACGGACGAGGATCAAATGGGAAAATGTTTCAAAATGCTTTCAATGTTCCCTGCAATATTGAAAAAACATTTTGAAAAATGGCCAGTTTCAGGATTTCAAAAAATAGATGGTCTTAAAAAATAATTGTATATATATATTTATATAAGCAGACTTATGACATGTGATAAGTGCGACATTCTTTTTGTTTATATTGAGTTGCTCACACTAGAATACAATTTCAGTCAGAATCATTATCTGCAGTAAAATCATATTTTTTCCACATTTCTGCAAACTCCATAACTTTTTTCCTTTGTGTGTCAAAATTCTCTCGACGAGGTTTTCGCCAGAGACTATGATCTAGATCCAGCATCCCACCAATGATTTCCTAAATGAATATTATCATTATAGTTCCTTTCTGTACATCATTAGACATTATTGTGTATGCTTCAAATAATAATATGTACCTGAGCAAAATTTCTTGGGAATAATCTTTCATCCTCGATTACATGAGCAAATCCCCCTTGCATTCCAAAGTCCACTGCAAAATATGGCAAACCCTTTGGAATTGCACGTCTTACATCTCTACCACTCAGATCAACAACTTTTTTATTCGTCGACCATTCCATTTCACATTCCAATAAAGCTTTCTGTAAAAATAAACATGTTCCTCTAAAATAGAACATAACTCATAGTTTCATCCACTATATTTTATATGCTTACTTTGAAATAAATTGGAGCTGTGTCTCCTACTTCTTTAGGCAATGGAATACACTCTAATTGCATATGAGGAAATCTATGATGCCCCATTGATATTTCAAAGAAAACTGGATCTTCGTCCTGATCCTTGAACATTTTAGTCAATGCCTTTTTAAATGCCTAAAATATAATATACGTTAGTCTACACTAAGACAGTTGATGAATATTTTACATAAGATTTTACTGCTGCTGTAAGTGTCAACCTGTAATTCTTCCCATATATCTTCATCCAGTTGGGTTTGACAAATTACATGATGAATTGGCGATAAAATACAATGTCCAATAGTCAAGGATGTATGCGATGGCAGACTCAAGTAAACCTTCGTCCCCATTGCAACAATCATGTGTTTAAGCATTTCCTTTGAATCGACACACCATCTGCAATTATCCAGGCTTCGTGCCATTTTTTTATGCTCATGAATGGCTCTCATGCGATCTCGAGCATCTTTCTTAGCATCTGATTCTTGGTGTGAGATCTTGTGCTCAAACATTTCATCCATGTCCATACCCTAGAACATTACGTATTTGTATAGTTTCAATGACCTGTAATTATAACGATTTATTTATGTTACCTTCGAAGCAATATTTGCAAAACTGGCCTCATCCTCAGCAGTAGATCTTCCTTTTTCTTGTTGAAACTGAAAATTAATGGAACATTTTATTTATAGCAAGGAAATCGATACATTATAATTAACTTGTTGGTATGTGTTTGTAATTACCATCTCTTGTAAACTGTGTTTATTGTCATCAGCAAAATATCGAACTCTTTCACCAGATGTGTGAGTTTCAACTCTTTTCTTCTTTCTGCGTCCTCCTGCAGGCTCCTGATATTGACTTCGAGGCTCCACTGGTCTACTCATACCTCTGTTATCTGTTCTGGTGAGAATCACAGTTTCTTGTTCTGCACCTTTGCTTGGTTTCACTGGAGCATTCTTACGAATCTCTCTAGCGTTTTCTAGTTTTATTTTTAACTCTGCCGCTAGTTCCTGTAGAGAACAATATTAGATGTGCATATTCCATGACACTTGAAAAAATATGCATATTTAAAATTACTAACATTATCCCCCATTATTTCTGCTTTAACTATTCTCGCCCCTAACTGATTCAATTCTGCTTCAGTTAAAACTTTGTCTTCTTCATTCTCTGAATTTTGTTCTGATTCTGAATCAACTCCATTGGAATCACTTTCCACTTTTTCTAGTTTCTCTTTTTCTAATTCTTTGATGATCCTTTCAGACTGTTCTTTTTTATTCATTTCTTGTATTTCCAGCTTTTGCCATCTCTTTGTACCTGCTGAACGTGAACTGGCTGAGCTTCTATCTACAGTGTTATCATCTTGATTAGGTTTTTTGAAAGATGGCTTTTGTCTCCGCTCGTAATACTCATTATCGTATTTTTCACGATATTTGTTTCTTCTTTCTCTATCTTCATATCTATCATTATTGCATTCTTCACTTTTATAATGTCCATCCTGACTTCTGTACGGACCCTGTCTCTCGGAACTTCTTGAACGTGATCTATGCCTTCTCTCTCGGCTATTGGATCCATAAATTCTTCTTTTATCATACTTTTTATAGTAATTATCATCATTAGTCGTGGCAAATTTTTTATCTTTTCTTGAACCATACTCATTATGTGACCATGCTTCAGCATCGGCTATCATAGATTTTATTGTCTCTAAGGACTGATAAAAATACAGTGTTATAATAAATATTAATAGTTGAGTATCTGACATGCATTACATAAATGTTGATTTCACCTACTTACACCCCATCTTTCGGCAGCAATCTCTTCTAATGATTTTCCTTCTTCAGTTGCTTGCTCCTGAGCTCTCTGAAGACTTTTCTTTAGCCATGCAGCATCCATAAGTCTACCACTTTTAGGATGCTCAGTTTCAGTCAATGGCAAACCAGTACCTCCATCTTTCCAATATGGGTTTAGTTCTCTTTCGCTCTGTCCTGGATGACGTAATATAGCACTGTCTTGTTTATTTTCTGTTAGTTCAGTTTTAGATTGCCTAAGTTCACTGCGTGACGTGCATGGGAATAACCCAGGAAGATTCATCCATTCATCTCTTTCAACTGGTTTTTGCGTTTCAGAGACATTTCCAGTTGTTGATTCTATGGAATGCTCCACTGCTTTTTCAACCCATTCTTCTTTTTCATCATCAGTGGAGCCCTTGATTGATAAATAAAAACTTATATACAGAATATTGTTTTGGAGCCAACTCAAATAATAGATCTATTAAGACTTTCGACTTACTGAACCAGAGCTAGATTTGTCATGAGTTTTCTTTTTCTTTTTGGACTTCTTTTCCTTCCTAGTTTTTGCCTTTTTCTCCTTCTTAGACTTCTTTAATTTCAATTTTGCATCCAAAGATGGTAGCATCCACTTATCCTCACCCCTATTCTTTGCTCTTTCTTTTTGTGCTTTCCTTTTATAATAATCTGCCTCTGCCTAATAAAATTGATAATCCTTAATAGACTACAAAAATTAATGAAATACAATAGACTATTAACAACTATATGTCAATGTAATCAAATCATACTTTCTCCAATAACTTTTCTCGTGCCTCCTTTAATTCTTGTCTTGCAGCATCTTTAATTCTGGCACTTTCAAATTGAATGTAAGACATTTTTAGCAGTTGAGTAACACTCTATTTATAAAAGACAATAAAAATTGGCAAATATCTTCAACAACGTGTGGTTAACTTTATGTATCTGTAAACATGGTTTACTTTTGTGCTTCTATAACCTAAGTTTATGTATGCTACACATCCAGAGACGAGTACTTATGGCGATTGCCCAGTGAATTAGAAGTATACTGGAATGCATACAGCAGTAGTGGAGGCCGCGTAGAGAGAGATAGCGAGAAAATAGGTCAGTGTAGTAGGCTGTTTCTATCACACACTGTATGTACAGTCAAATGCCTTCGATACAGATGAGTAGGGAAATACCCAATGCTACGGTTTTATGCGATACCAAAATCATGGCGCTACATCGTAGCAGCGATGGACAAAATACGATTTTGACGACCCGACAGCACCTCCTGGGCTATACTTTCGTGTTCACGTTTAGCTCGGCTACGACGGGATTCGCATTGTCGACGGAGGCGATAAACGCAAAATTCTACTTCCAGACTCGTCGTTACAATTCAGCGCCATGATTTTGGTATCGCCTGGTACAGCCTAAAATGCGTACGATTTTAGTCACTCGTGGCATGAAAATTCACGATTTGTATCGTTGATATTCAGAAGGCGTGCGTCTTGTACGTCGGAATGTTATCTTTGACCATAAAATTGTACCCTACAATGCCTCGCTTTCAAGCTACTGGAAATCGAGACATGGATTTTTCAAACTCTTCCAACTTTTCGGCTGTATAAATTCTATCACTCCCACCATCATCACCTCCCTCACCAAAGAACCCCATATCTAATATATATTATATATATATATATAATATATAAATTATTAATTTTAATTTTTATTATTATTATATAAACAGGTGAAGTAATGAGATCAGATTTCAGATTATAATGACGTAACATTTTATTTGTCAACAAGCGGTTTCTAGCATTTGCACCAACCGAGCTTCGAGGCAGCGTTACTCAGCAAATAAAATGCTCCTGTGCCCGAGGTCACTATCCCGAACGAACTAAACAGGGACGATGCCGCTCCCGTGGCACCCATCGATTGTAACGTAGCAAACGTCGAGCCCGCTGCAACAGATCCGATGGACGATTGCCACGATGCGGCTATAGAGGCGGCTGCGATGCCGCTCAGTTTAAAACCAATAAGTGCCGGTATAGAGCCGACCAACGAATAGCCTAATAACGTGATGCCCATGCCACTTGAAGCAACACCAACTCGATGTATCACGAGATTGCCACTGGTATTCAACAGATTCCCACACTTCGTGCAGCGGTCAAACATACTGAAAAATATGGATTTTTTCATGATTGGATACACGTGTATAACAAAATATAACAAAATATGATACATGCGTAATTATATATATTATATTGTATAAACTGAGGAAGTGGTTGCTGTTGTTGTTATTAATAGTCAACGATATACATACGCAATAAAAGACTATAGATCGTAGAGAAAAATACGTGGCACGCGTCTCGTTCGACGAGACACAATGACTGCGTGTCCCGAAAACAATGCTTGCTACCATGGTGGAAGCAGAGGTGGAAGTAGACAAAGTGTGGTGATTCTCGAGACAAAGAATGTCCGCTCGAATAAACAAAGAGGGACTGAGGTGGCGGCCAGTAGCTCTCCTTTTTTAATGCTCCCATTGGCTACGTTTTCTATACTCTCGTACTACGACCAGAGATGAAAAGGGAGAGAGATTTGCTACATTCCAAATTAATTAATAGATTCAATAAGCATTGATTATGAATAAAAAAAAGTAATAATAATTCAATATAAAATTCGGTCTCGAACCCGAGACTCTCGCACGTTGACTCGTTACCATGCACGTATGATATTTAGTTACCTACCGTGACGTACAGATTGGGAAAACTGTATTTCAGTTGTTATACACGTTTGGAGTTTGCTTAGAGTACTCTGATACATACGCTTAACCAATCAAAAACGTGAGTATGGTTCGACGGCCCTCCGCTCAGGTGGCGCGTTTACTCCAAAATAAAATTGGTTTCAAGAATATCGGCCCATTCGCAACCTCCCTACTCATCTCTGCTACGACTGCTGATTAGAAAGAGACAGGGCGTGGCCGCCACCAGTCACCATCTTTTTCTATCAGCCAACCATTTTCGCGCGGTTTACATTTTGCCTCTATTAATGTTAACCAATCAGTGTCGTTCTTCCATTCAATCTTTATACATGATTGACTAATAGCTACGTGTGACTTCATTTCCGTTATAAGATTAAGATGTACATAAATTTCAAATATGCTGAAAGTTCTAAGTAAACAAAGGATTATTTCATGATGAGGATAAAGATATGAAAAGAACGACAAGTTTGTTACTAAATATTTATATTTGTATTAAATCACTATCAGTGTATTTATTTCTTTTTTTTTTTGATAAATCACTATTTCACAGCTTCATTCTTCCCCGTTGAAACATAATCTTAGCGATATCATAAGACAAGCTTTCGTAGAAAATTAAAAGGTTACAAGTTCGAGCTATGCCGCACGAATTTTCTTACGATATAGAAATATAAGTATAACTCAGTGTACAATATGGTACGAGCTACCTTTTTTAATCCTTCGAGTTATTCGGCATCGATTTGATGGAATAAGCACGAAAAATATCGCAAGTGGACTTTCTCGCACGCATCACAGAAGTCTTACTAACCCGGGAATAGTCGCGCATTTTTGTTCTTTATTTGAAAAGTATTAAATTAGAATGTATCTGACACTCTATTTGTCTATTCCCGGGTTAAAAGTTCTTTGCAATTTAAGCTCGCTATAGGCTTGCCAGTCGTGTATCAACTGTGTTACGATCAACTCTGTTCAAACTCCTAATCGACTAGGGCTACGTTTCGAAATGAACTGCCAGTACTGGGTAGCATCATTCTCTAATTTATAAAACAGACTAAAACTTCTTGTACTTGGCGCGCGACTTGACCTAGTTTCTTGATATGCAACCATCACGGGGTCCAGCAGTGAATTTTGGAACGTATTCCTATTTCATCCTAATCCACGTCCATCTCATTTTACAGAACCTACATGGAGATTTCGATTATCTTGCATTTTGTTTCTGTGAGCAGAATCAAAGGTTTGATGAGAATAGAGTATTGGGTGACTGTTTGGTAAATTATGCAAAATAATGACACCCGTTTGGGCTCATTATGGAATACGCATATTAAAGTTTAAAAAAGCCCTCTATTTGTTCCTCATTATTTTCTATTGATTCGTTAGTTTGAGGGATTAGTTGAAGTCATTAATAGCATAGCTCATCTATATATGAGGGTTGCCAATGACCTACTCAGATAATTGATTGACAGTATATGTATAAGGAGCAGCGATCTCTTTCATTTCTCTAATATTTCTGATTAACATTGATTTCATTGCCATTTATTCTTACCAGTAGTGCTGTTCTATTACTTATCACTGTGGGTATTATCAGTCCTGCCGATATTCCAATAAACACATATTGCCAAACACTGATATTGCACTGCATTGCCAATGAGGATATAAGAATGTTCCAAGTTTCAGTGTCGATGACTTTCATTCAAATCTCCTAATGCGTAATCGCTCTTATCATAGGAATCATATTCATACAATAACAATCACTGATGGTTCATAATGTTCCTTATGTTGTCGGGACTGCACAACAATCACAGCTCATATTTTTAAGCAGACAAGTCTATTTTTACTACCTGATACTTGTGATTTACAAGTAAGCAGAACACAGGCAGTAAAATTAAACTTGTCTGTATAAAAATCTAAGTCCTGATCTTGATATAGGAATCACAGTATCACTATAATAAGCTTTCAAATGTCTTCTAAAATCATACATTACAAATTAAAATTTTCCATTGAAAAATCTCTGATACAAACTATGCGTCAGAAAAGGGTAAAAACGTCAAATTCCTGCAGACTGTATATAATCTTCAAGTCATCTCTATCTTAATTGTCCTTGAAACACAATTTTACATCATGGTAATTAGGTTCGCAAACTGGGGATTAAGAGGCAAATGGCCAGCCCTAGATAATGTATTACCTTGTCATAAGGAAGATGCAGAATTTACTTTAATAACAACCTTATTCCCAAGATGATACTATTCTCAATTCGAAAGCGTCTCTATATACGAGTATGCGTCAAACGAAGTAACAAATATTTAACGAGCGCTGTACACAAGCCTTATTTCAGGACATACTTCATCCATTGAACCTCTCTAATCAAGTAGTCGATTATGCTTATTGGCTACTTGAGACCAAATATTTTTCTCCATGACATTAAGTGGTTGGATGATAAGAATTGATCAGGGCAGCATCGACTGGTTCCATGCATGAAGGACAGGTCAGCGAACGAAGAAGCCAATCATCGATACAGACTGCATGGTAAGTGTGCATACATGGTAGATAGCGCACTTCCTCACCGATCACAAGATCCATCATGCAAATTACACACTCTCCCTTTTTAGTACCATCGTATTCGCGTGTAGGTAGATGCTGTATTAGTCCAATTCTTTTGGCAATTCGTACTTGCTGTTCCTCTTCATTGAGGTTAGACGATCCTCCTCCACTGCTACCACTTCCAACTACAACGCCAATTCCACGACCCATAGTCAATTCGGTTGATTGTAAGCGATGTTCTCTAATTAACATGGATGGATAATACGATCCTGTTGTTTCCTGCGTGATAAAGCGAAAAATCAAAATTGTATTTTTGAACTACACGGACGAAGCGATTATTGAGAACAAACTGAAAATCTTTGATATTTTGATAATGAAAAAAAAATTGACAGCGTGATGAAAACCAAGTAGATGAACAAAGAACGAAATTTTGGCATTGACAGAGACATTACGTTATAGGGTAAAACGGGTCCAACGAAGGCCTCTTGCGATGAACCGCTGGTCGATGCAGGGTCAGGACTGTTACCAAGCAACGTAGAGTTATCCTGTTGCACACTGCCAGAACGTTTCAGGCAATTACCCATCTTTTCGTGATCTTGTCTGTTTGGTACTGCGTCTCATTCGCTACACCAGCTATGATTGAAGAGACACGAGAAGCTCGTTAAGGGAGCTTCCGATTTCAGTCCCCATCACAATGGACACTAAGCTCCATGCGTCTCCGTATGTCTCTTTAAAATCCTTCGGACTTTAAATCCGCTGATAAACTTGTTTAACACTGCCCTATGTGTGAATTGTTATGACTAGGCACCTCCTGTCACATAGCTGATGGCAGACAGTAGCTCGCATTCGTTGTTACACGCACAGGAAAAGGATACAGCTGAGCACAAACCATAGATGAGTTGCTCTTCATAGATAGAGAATATGAGTACCGTGCAGAACGCCAGAAACAGCCAGACTGAGCCAGACTGTATACCTGAAATAGGTAAAGCTGGCGTCATTCTTGAAACATTGTTAGTAATGTCAGTTTCGGTATTCGCAGCAGATATGTACCAAAACGTGTCATTCACGATACGTTCCGATGAATCTTTAGATTTATATCTGAGATAATGATTTACTTTAGTCTGGAAAATATTTGATCCGTCAAAGAGCTTTACAGCTGATTTCATCCTTCCTTATTTTTCAGGTCAAGTTATTCAGAAATCGCAAAGTTTGGAACACAAACGCTGCAAGTGGCGTAAAACGGTAAAATCGACATGGCCATCCAACATCAAGCCTTTTGTTCTACAAACGAATTTCCCTTTTAACTTAGATCTCAGAAAATAGCAATAGTATAGCAATAATCCACTATTAAATGAAAATGTTGACATAGTACTTAATAAAAGTATTACCATCAGCTACGATTGGCAAGTGCCGTCATGATATTTATAAGTGTTATTGGGTTATCTTTAAATTTTCGCGCACTATCCTGTATTCGTTTTCTTGCGTCATCTTCACGATATTCCGTCCACTCGTGAAGATACCTGATTTTGTTGTGTCATGGATAATCATAAGTAGAGAAGAGGATCTTATGTAGTTTCAATGAACATACTTTAATGGCGACTACTTTGATGAATCAGCGGTAGAAATGTCAGTTTATTCATAGAGTTTAGTTTGCTAAGCTGTTTTGAAGGGATTTATTAGATTCCAATGAATCGTTTCGGACAATAGCAGATTCGGTTTGTTCTCTTGCGAATTTGCAATATAAGAAAGCATTTATATCAATCGATAAGTTGGGCTGAAAGGTTGAGCAAAGCGAAGTGACTTCCTTGTCGCAGAATTCTTGTCGAAGGTGTTCACAGAAGTGCTCAACATCAGGATGTCTGCTTCTACAATATCCAGCGCTAAACTTCAAGATGACATGAATAGTATACCTTTGGCTGACGACGATCCTCAAGGTATTGTACAATACTATTATATTGATGACCTACTTTGAAATAATGAAATGCCATTCTAAAATACTATACAAGTTGATCATTATAGTTTATTGTTAAAAATGATATTTTAAGATAATTTTATGGTTTACAGTAATCATTCCTGAAGAAGAAATTCTTGATAATGTATCACACATGTCAGATGCTCTTGCCCATGGACGTAGTATGGATTCGATTCCATCTACTTTCACTAATGGAAGCAGCAGCCCTAACAGTGAGTGAAATGTTATATTGTTATAAAGTATTAATATGTGAGACATTGAAGAATTATTTATAGTCTATCTTGCAGGCTTAGACCCAGATATAAGTCCAGACGAACAAGAAGAAAAGGCTAGACTAATTGCCCAGGTCTTAGAACTACAAAACACTCTCGATGGTATGTTAAATCTCTAGATATTCAAATATTTGACAGAGGTCTCCATATTACTTTACTAGAAGATTTATTATCTTGGAAATTAGGAGCAATAAATTATCTTTACAGATTTATCACAGAGAGTGGATAGTGTAAAGGAAGAGAATTTAAAACTGAGGAGTGAAAATCAAGTATTGGGTCAGTATATTGAAAATTTAATGTCAGCTTCAAGCGTTTTTCAATCGACCAGTCCTAAATCGAAAAAAAAGTGAAGTAGTCGACATAGTATTAAAAGGAACATATGAGCAGGAGCAAGGCCTTGCAGCCATTAATTTTTTTTTCTTTTGATGAAAGATGCACTGGACAAAATCGGTTACTAAATATTTTAACATGCAATCTTGCAAATATCCTGCTGGATCACCCTGTTTATGTGGAACAAGAGATATAATGTGAAAGAATAATTATACTTGATCTGCAGGTCTCTGTATTATTCAACTTCACATCACTTGACCTTTATCTTTATGTGATATGCGACTTTTTTTAAATATTTTGAGTCACGATTCATTTTTTTTGAGAACGTTGAAAAATAAAGCTCACCGTTGTGTTAGCATATGTTGTGTCTGGATAACTTACGAAGCTTTAAGCTTAAAGAGTGATGTGCTTGATATTAATATGGGTCACCAAAGATTCTAATTCACATTTATACATTTTTTACAACCACGCTTGCTTGGAGGCTTCTCATCTATGTAGTTGGTAAATAGCATTACGTTAAAAAGATATTGTAATAATAATCAGGATTTATCTCATTGCATTAGCAGCTGATTCAGGGTATGAAATATATTTTATGAATATTTATTTTTCACTGCTATTAGAAATGGCTAAAGGATAAAACATCAATATTGATATATGTAATAATTTTGTTCCCTGAACTGAGTGGTGTAACTGATTCGTACAACGATGTATGAGTAAATACTATTATAATATTCAATGAATCTCAAAGGGTATTATTAAAAAGAAATAATGATTTTTCACATAGTTTCACACTGCTCGGTTCGAGGTGTACGTTTAAAGCAAAAGCCTTTGATAGAATTCGAAAAATACTGAATAAAAGATCTAGAAGGCAAATCATTATTTGGCAGCCTTTGGATTAACGCTTTCATATAGCCTGTTCTTCGTCTTACATTCCATGTTCTCTATTTATCCAATTCTCTCATGGGCTTTTAAATATTAGATTCAAAATTTCATGACCAAAGGGCGGAGGCGGAAAAGGTGATTGCAAAGCGCGAATACGCCTCACGCTATTTAACAAATAAAAATTAAATATTTCAAATTTAAGCTTTGCTTAAGAAACTTTATATATATGTATACATGTAGGTGTACAGAAGAGATATAAATCAATATAATATATATATACACATATATATTATAATTACTCAAGTTGAATGACGAAAAATATTCTGTCGAAGATTTCGATATTAGCACATTAGGATTTGCATTACCTGCGGATCGTAGAAGTTTTACAAGAAATTAAAAGTCCCGCGTTTACTTGGACCGTTTGGCATGCTGTAGGAGTTCATCTATGGTGTGTCTAATAATTAATAAAAGTTATCTAAGCTGCCGAGTAAGGCTACAGAAATTCTCAACAAAACAATTCGAACTCATGAACACAAAGCGAAGTGCACAATCCGAATATATTCTGTTGTTAAGTGACACGATGATGTAATGAACATTACACATTCTATGGCTAATACAAATGTCTTCATATTTTTTTCAAACCTTAAAGTCCTTCTCAACACTTCCTTATTATCATGGCTAATAGAAATGTCTTCAGCTTTTTCCCAGTGCTTGTCTCCCAGTTTCCTTCAAAAAAGTGTTAATCGACAGATAAGATTCAATGGATTGATTATAGCAAAGATGAAATGAATTTTGTATGCGCAGAATTCTCTTCTCTCGTTGCAAATTTTCATTATACTCGAATGAATTGTAATAAACATTTATTTATTGATAATATAAAATTACACTCTGTAATAACATGAAAGACGTATCTTACAATATTTCACAATTATATTATTATACGTGCTAGTCAATTACAGAAAAAAAAAACTTTGAAAGACACAGGAAACACGAATTTCATCTTAGCTCGTGAATCTCGAGTTTTTCTTTACAATTGATCCAGGCCAAAGTATAGCAATTATAGCCTAGAAATCTCAAAGGTTAAATTTTGTTCTTCGTCTACAAAAGGCCCTCCGCGGAATTTACATCTAAGATTAATATTATTGTCTAGCGCGATAATATCTAGAGCTTAAGATTTCCGGCAGAGATTATTTCATTTGATTTTAGACACTAGCGTAGGCACATCGAAAGCTTCGATAACTAAATCAATCAGCAATATTTTATATCTCTTTAAACGTCGCCACTATGCTGACAATTAAAACTCTTTTTATAAATATCACAAGTTATAATACAGACATTTACACTTTCCTTTCCATCGACCTTGCTTTCCCGTCTTTTAATCCGTTTACGCATTTCGTCGAGGACGTGAACTATCATTCGCCTCGTAGGATTGCTTAACTCTATTCTAATTACATACATACACGATATTTACATGTGTGTTAGTTACGAATATAGGCGAGGGGAAGGAAGAAAAGGGAGATAAAAAGAAATTTATGTATCGCGATATATCCAATATACGTAAAAATGACCTGCGCAAAAATTACCTAGTAGGTCCTAAGTTGTTCCCTGTAGCTTTTGTCGTTGTTCTTTATCGAAATTATTTACAAAAACGTTTATGATACCTTCGTGGGGGCAAGGTAGCAAAATGATCAACTACGACTTATAAAATATAGCCGAAAGACGCTATATTCAAGCTAGTCAGCTTTGGAATCCATAGCCCAAATTTCTACACACAGCTGAATTTGACACCTGAAAATGCAAGACAACAACCACGTGAGTAAAGGAGAGTAAAGCAGTAGAATTGTAGATGATAATGATGATGCGATAACGAGGATGATGTTCTCCTAGCAGTTGAAGAGAACGACCTAAAGGTAGTAGCAGCCGAGTACTAGCTTCCTCGTCCACAGAAAACGCGGAAAGGAAGGCAGGTCGACTCGTAGGCCTATAGAGCTTTTTGTACCTTTGAGTGCATAAAAACGCACTTATCAACCAATGGCAAAAAGCAGGAAGTATTTGTTACGCCATTAGTTGAAAAGGCATAAATTCGGGGCGCTTAGGTCTGCAGAAGAACCTACATAAAAGCACCCATCCTATGATTAATCTAATAAGCAACGGGGTCTTCGACTTTCCTGTTTACGAGCTTCAGGGCTCCGTCGCTTTAAAGTTTTCTCTCTATTCTATTTCTATAGTAGTTTTTATTTTTTGAAACAGAGAGTGTGCGACGCATATTAACATGACGTATGTTATTTCTGTAAAATTTTTAAATATAAATACCATCGTCGCTGGAGTAGCAGTTATGGCAATGCAGCTTGTGATTTCGAACGCGAACGTCGGTTCCCATAAGTCCGTCGCCCAATCGGACATGACACACGCAACATTTGAAGCACTCCATGTGATAGAACAGCCGAAGACTCTCTATTATCATTGCCGCACCCCTTCCTGCAATCATCAGACGTAATCGGTGATTAGGAATAAATAAAGAATAGTCATGTTAGGATATAGCGATTCGTAAGATTGCGTATTGACCTAATTCATCACCGCAATGGGAACATTTCTTTTTGCCGCTAACGCTCAACATCTTTTCTTGTGATTCTGCAGTGTTACTCGGTACAGTAGTCGGTTGCTGTGCCTTTTGTTGCTGAATGGCACGTTGCTGGGTTTCGTGCTGTACGGCAGGAATGTGCTCCTGACTTGCACTTAGCTCTAACCTGTGGGAGGATAAAATGTAGGACTCTATAATTTTCTGTTAGATCAATGCTATTTATTTTTTACTTTCTAATTTTTCAGTTTTATGAGTCTAGACCAACTGCGTCCTTTTAACCGTACCTTCTTCTTGGCGGCAGAGGTTTCTCCTGTACTCTGTTTTGCACTCTTTGGGTAAGAGTTTGTATAATGGAATCAGGTAAGGGTTTACTGTCTGATCTGGGTGGGGATCCTGTGTATGGTACGGATGTACCCGTAACGTGGACCTGAGGTTTGCGTGGCGATCGTTGGTTCTTCTCGTTGATTCTTCTTTGTTCGGCCTCCTGATCATAAGGAATTTTTGTTCTTACTTGATTAATTCTGACACCACTGACATTGAATTTTTATTTATTGAGACTGAACGAACCTGGATGAGCCAATGCTGATAATTGAAATCTTGAGTGGCACGTGGAACGTCACTTTTACGTCTCTGCACCCATTGATCTCCCTGAACTATTCTAGGACGCGGAGCCGCGCTCAGAGCTTGGAGAGTTTGTCTACTCATTTGTTGTCCAGGGTAATTCGCCAGAGTACCAGAGGAGGCACTTTGCCTCAGAGAAGTATCTACTTGGTGTGGAATCGAATCAGCTGACGGGACCCGGCTATTTCTGTAAAAGGATATAAGAAAGTGAAAAAAATTAGCCGCTGCTACTCTTGATCAACGGTTGAAGTGAACTGTCCAGCTGACGTAACCCAAACGACACTCGTCTGCGTGCAAATCAATTGTGGGCTTGCGTAAGAGAGGATTGGTAAACGAAAAGAGTGAACAAACAGGAAATTAAACGTGTATCACTGAGTCAGCTTGCACCTATAGATATGAGTTTGGGAGTGGGCGGAAGTAGATTGTCGAAGAATAACAAGGAATACGTACCTTATGGTAACATCTCTTTGTCTTTGTTCGATCAACCTCAGAGGCTTCGCTGGCGGAATTGGAGGTGGAGGTGGCCTCCTTCTTTGGCCATCTTGAAACTGAAGATTTGGCATGGAGGACCTGTAATTGGCTGGAGAGACCTGGACCTCCTTATATTGCTGAACGTTGTTAGCCGCGGAATTAGCAACATGAGCTACGTCTTGAAGAGATTTCCATTGTTCTTCCAGGTGTTCAGCGAGCTGTTGTTTCTTCTGGTCTCTATAGACCAGATTGTTACGTTGTCTTTTGAGTTCTTCCTGCTCCAGCTGAAGTAGTTCCCTTTCAACCCGTAGGACCTCCTACGAGTAAAAAATTGCATCGTAAACCAAATTCCAAAACCATAAAAATGAATTACAGTGGAATAAACTAATTGATTATTACATGCATTTGTTCTAATGAATAAGAATGTAGAGTGCAAGCAAGTGCCTTACCCCGGAAGCATAATCCTCCTCATGATTGCTCGAACAAACACCAGTCAGTGTGTCGTTCTGAGAACAACGATTTTTCCCATCAGTGCAATTTCAAAGTGCGATAACCAAGAGCGTAAGCAAAAATATAAAAAAGCACCTAGGATTACTAATTACTACTGACAGACAAATTATTACTACAAGACAAATTATCAGCTTACCTCCTGCTCGCGAATCTGACTGCCCATAGATTTGACCCGCGCGTCCTCATGACGACGAAGCTCCGCTGCCCGTCTTTCCTTCTCCTCAATTTCCTTGCGAACCCTCATCCTCTCAGCTTGCATCCTGAGCTCCTCCTGTTTCTCCTCTTCGACTCGTCTCGCTTCCGCTTCGCGTTCAGCTTCGACGCGGACCATTTCCTGGTGTCTCGTAACTTCCTCCTGTTGCGCCCTCTTGAGCGAGGTTCCTTCCTGCTTGCGAATGTTCTCCTCGTTTTTCCGGAAGGTGTCCTCCTGTCTACGTAGCTCAACCTCCTGCGCACGCTCGCGCTCCAACTGCATTTTCTCCTCCTCCAACTCGCGCAGTTTGTGTGCCAATTTTTCACCCAGGTCACTGTTCGGAACAGCATGATAGTAACTTAGTCTAGTCACGTGGAAAAGGGAAGGACACGTGGACAACTAATGAATCGTAAAGGAAGCAAACACTTGATATTTGACAATGTATGTATGCACATATCTACATATGTATCAAAGTACATTAGTACGAGAGGTCAATTAATAGTAATCATACAGGGGTCCCCGTGTCACTGTAATTAACCTTTGACAATGAGTCGGGTGTGTGCGAGTGCCTGTCTGTGTCGACCTCAGGGATGAAGATATCAGTAAAAGACGAGACAAAGGTTAAGTCGTGAAGGACCCGTTATTTTTGGAGTGCCGGGTTAATTCGAGAACAAGAAACGGGATACCGGTTCGTGTACGAGCTTGGGAAATTTGTGAATTAGAGACCTGTTCTCTTCGTGGTTGTTCCCATAACGCCATTGTTCCTCTTTCTCCAGTACTTCAATGATCTCTCGTTCCTTCTTCGTGATTTCGTCCTCCTCGGAGGAGGTTACGCTGGCTCCGAATGGTTCGCTACTCTGACGGCTGTGTTGGGACATATCCGGACTGACGGCCTTGTTGTTCCACTCTTCAGCATGACCCAGCTCAACGCCGGAGTCTCTTTCGTGACACGAGTCTTGCTCGTAGTTGCTGTCGGTGTCGTAAGAGCGACGATGCAGTTGCTCTATCCGTCGTTCCTCGGCAAGAATGGCCGCCATATCCGGAGGCTTCGTAAGAGTCAGTTCTCGCTCGAGTTCTTCATCGTTTACCTAAAATCCATTATTTCGTTTGTCAATCGTGCCTCCTACTTCGACCCCACTGATCTCTTGCACTTTGAAAACTTACACCTTCGATGCCAAGAAAATCCGAACGACGAGTTCTCAGCTCCTTCTTTATCCTTCTGGTGGAATTGAGTCTTTTCAAAGGCTCAACCGGAACAGTCTCTTCGTCGCTCAGGTCGACCGGAGGTGGTGGAGGTTTTTCCTTAGGTGGCTCGATGCTCGTAGGCTGTCCCAAAGTGAACGACAATCCAGTTACGATTTCCTCTCCTCCGTCGCCCGACAGATTCAGTGGGAGGATCTGCAGAAGACAAATTTCACATGTTACCCAACATCACGTCATATGGACCACATCACACGAGACTAAAAAAAGAAAGTGTGACCTATCCTACCTAGGCCAAATAAATTACCAACCTGTTTTGATACCGTTGACAATGCACTCGGATAATTGACAGTGGTACCAAACGTTGACGATGAATTACTGCCAAAGGACACCTTGACAGTTCGATCCGTAAAACTTGACTTGGCTGAATTCTTAGTGGAAACCAGTAAAGGATCTTCCAGGACCTTAAGCTTTTCTTCAGGTTGCTCGGAAAGCCTCTGCTTCTCCGAGTTTACCCGAGGGTTTTTATGATCATCCTGGTCCATGGGTCGTCCCGAGTCGATGATCTTGTCAATGGAATTTTCCGTTACGATTGATTCCTAGGGAAATAAAAAATGTTCAACTGACTGTATACATTTATTCAACTGTTAACGTTGTGAGTCTATAGAAGAAGGCCCTGCCCCGTGATGGGTGTTACGTCGGACGAGGACTTATAGTCTTGTCAGTTACGCAATGCTCAGTTCCTAGTGTAAATTGCAGTGTGAGGCAGCAAAGTATAATGCTGAGAAAATGTCACAACTGGGACAAGAAACTAACAGGTCTTTTTATACCGTACACGTTTTACGCGTCTTGCTGTATCGCAGGAACGTAGTGCGAAGTTGAGTTTACGAGTGGAATGTTAAAAAGACATTAAATTCAATGAACTATTGTCTTTGGATCTTTTAATCTTTCACGGTTTCGTAATTTCCTTTTTTTTTTCCATAATTCAAGAGAAACCCAGAGTTACGTTATTGAAGCAAAGTACCATAAGATTTAACCTGTTCGGAAGACTGTAATTCGTGATTTCCGTTTTTGTAAATACGCGTCTCAGTGTAATCCGTGCTGTGAAGGTAATCTACAAATGCGTGGTTTACAAGTAAAGCAGAGAAACACGACGTAAAAGTTAATACCAATAGATTAAAAATCAAAGCAAAGCAAAGCCATGCACTTTAAGATAATACATATGTCAAATAAAAGGATCTCGTTAATAAAACGTGAATAAGCATTATCAGATCCCAAAGAATGGACCATGGCTTTAGGTAATGGAAGATCAGTGGGATTTATTTTGTTGGTTATTGATCCTCAAGTTTTCATCCTATCCCGTACCTTTCTTTAAATATATGAATAACTGTTTTTCAAATTTATTTTTTGCCTCGACTGTACCTTTATTTCATAAAATGCCTCTCAGCACAGTAAAGTATTACATCTGTTGTATCACCAGGACCATTTGTATCTTAACATACAATCAATATAGAGTTTAATATTATTAACCAGTCCGAAAAATTGGTTCATTTGTCACGAAGAATTTTGGACGGCTATTCGAAACTAATTGTGGTTCGTAATTTATCCAAGGTAAACACGAAGCACACAGAACGCTGAATCGAGTGATACGTATACGTGGTCTTATGAGAGGTGAAATCGACAAAAGAAAATTAGAACGAGAGACACAGGTACGTATGACCTGAGTGAGGTGGAAAGCATTTCAAGCACGTGAGAGAAGAAGAGGGATAATAAGAAAAAAAAAACGGCAGGAAACGAAGGAAGCAAGCTGCGCCTTACCTCGTAACGTTAAGTAACCCAAGCCTGTAACCCAATGGAAGATCAGCGGAGACGTGACGAGAAGTTTAGCGCTTCAGAGTTGCACTACAGTACCTAGGTCGTAATTCGAGTACAGAGATCGCGAAAATGATAAAAAAAAAAAGAATGAACAGAAACAAAAACCCAAAGGGAGGAAGACTCCACGCCTCTGCTCAAAGCTACGCGCTGGTTTTACCTTTGTTTGCGATTCTTATCTTTATCGAAGATTACAGCGATAGTCAAATGACGGACAAGCGGATATTCGACCCACGTGACAGACTTGACAGGCAATAGTTTTTTAATGTTTTGGAAGATTTAAAAAAAATTGATATCACAGACGTTTCGATGACAAATAAATCGACATAGGATGAATGAATGTGCAAAGGTATTTTTGAAAAAAAAAAAAAAAAAAATTGCATGACGAATGAAAAAGATGAGCGTCGCTATATGCGTTTCATGGGGAAGGACAAACGGCCGAAGATAAATGATAAGACTTATGTGGACACTGACAGAAATCGGACACCGTTTAAATTGCTGGGCAATGAATTGTATATATGTATTTTTGTTTGCTTCACAATTTTAAAAAGGTACAACAGTCAATTATTAGCCATTAGGCAGCTGCTGCGTGCCACCTGATCACGAAAAGCTTCTTATCAGACCCACTGAGAGTCGTGGTCGATGATCGAGTCTTATAGTTACACTTCGGTCAAAGGTTAGACCCGCGAGGTTGCACGGATTGAAAATAATAATTGCATCGGAATATTACTTCGGCTTTATTTCGTTCGGCTAGGCCACGTGTCCGCTACTAGATTAGAGTTAAGGAGACGAGAGGGCTGGGCGCGCGTACTTTCGGGCATTTTAATTAAACGACGATTAAAGTACGGGGGAGGCTCGCATTATTGGCCGAAGGAGGTTATTATACTTAATTAATGTTTCGTATTCGTAAACGTTTATTTACATCGTTAACTAAAGTCGCTTTCACGCTGGCGAACTTGGCTCGGTACGGTTGGTGCGATAACGGCTTAAGGTTTTTGCTGGGGTCGTATGATTTTCCGCAATTCTTTTTTGCTCCTTGTCTCTCTCTCTCTCTCTCTCTCTCTCTCTCTCTCTCTCTCTCTCTCGTGTCTTTCCAGTGTGCCTCCTGCTTTGACGCATTCCGGCTATTTGTGGCTGAAAGATCGAGCGATGACGACGCGAAGAGACGCATGAGAAAGACACGACGAGTGACAGAATGGCTATTGTAAGAGACGGAGATGGAGAGAGAGAGAGAGAAAGAGAGAACCTGGCAAGGTTGATCTCAAGAGAGGGAGAAGGTGCGCCATTTCGAATTCGGATTATGTACAAGATGTTCTAGCATAGAGAAGCTAGAGGCAGTTGGCCCAAAACGCAATAATTCGTAGAGCCAGCGCCTTAAATTCTCTTTTAGGAATTTTTCAAAGGGATGCTACCCTCATTAATTAGAACCTCGGAAGACTGCGGATTTGCTACTCGTACCACTGTGATGAATGGCGTCACTGGAGGCGTCGTAGGAGCTTCACCCTGAGGTACCACCACCTTTTGACAAAGTTCCACCACCGTGCGACGTCTCTCTGGCGTCGGTGTTTCCTGCACTGCCGCCACCTCGGTCGCCGGGCTTGTTAGAGTTGTTGTCGGGGATGTTAGGTTCGTGCAATTATTGGAACGGATGTCCTTGGGTGCCTCCAAATCAGAAGATTCGGACTCAGCCAAAGCGGAGGACGTCTCGGGGGACGAAGTGGGAGTTGCGATAGTCGTTGGAGACACGTCGAATGTTTTCTTCGAGGGAGAAGTTGGTGATGGTGGAAGAGTACGTAATTTAAGGGGCGGCGGTACTTTTGGTTGATCCTGAGAGCCAGTTGAGGGCGTCGGAGAGGATTTGTCTGAGACTCCCTTACGTGGCAGAGGGGTAGGAATTTTTGATAGACCACGAGGTGATGATGGTGAAATGATCGATGATTTTGGAGTCTGATTCGCCGTTTGCAGATTGCAACTCGGTCCAGAGTCAGGACGAGGAGTTCGTGTAGGTGCAAGGTGAGGGGTTGTCGGGGACGAAGTTGTTCTTGTGGGAGAGGTGTCCTCGGACGTCGTTTCTTTTTCCAGATTCAAAGAGAGCACGGTATTAGGATTACTGTTATTGTCCAGGCACTTGTCCTGTGCTATGTCAAAATTTGATTCAGAGTGATCATCTTGCATTTTAGGTAACGTCGGCTCGACAGGAATCTGCGAAGAAGTCGAAGTGAGAGTAGCAGGTTGCTCTTGAGGCACTTTCAAGAGTGTCTTGGGCTTGGGCTTTGGATTAGGCTTAGGCTTGGATGTGGAGGTAGGATTAGGTGACTCGGGTGGAGTGCGTCTTGCAGGTACCTTGGGACTTTGATAAACTATAGGACGATTCGAGGTAGATGGGATCGCTTTAGAGTTAGTTACGTCTACGATTATTTGTGGCTGAGATTCGTTGTTAGTCGACAGCTCCCCAGAAGATTCAGCAGTTTCCTAGAGGATCAGAGTGTTGAGATAAAGAAAGAATAAGAAGTGAGTATGTGAAGGAGGGCGAGAGCGAAGAAGGAAAGGAGGAGAGAATACAGTGACACCGAAGAGGTACGAGTCGAGACATCTCGGATTACAAAGAATGAGAACGTGGGACGCGCGCGTGGCGTCTCTCGAGCGTCCTGAAGTTTAGTTTATGAAATGCCAGAAGACAATTCAAGAAATTACATTGACGTTTCTAAAGTACCTTCATGTTACTACTGGAAATGCCTCCTCGGTGTTGACTGGTTAATGCAATTTTATACCAGATGAATGGAGAAAGATCGGATGAAAGAATGAGTAACGGACCAGAACCAAATTCTCCGAGTAGAAGATAAGCGAAAGTGAATGGGTATAGTCTTACCTTCTTCGTTACTACTGCTTCCGGTTCAGTTGCGTATGACGAAAGAGCTGTCGAGAGTGCAGTTGAAAGAGGTTCAGCAGCAGCGAGTTCTGCAGGTTTAAATGGTTCGTTCGTTGGGGTGGGCTCTTCCGGTCGCCGTGCAAGGGGTTCTTGTCTTTCGGGGATGCTGCTGCCAGCTGTGTGGACGCCGATATCTTCGTCAACGGGTTCATCGGCTTGACTTACGGAACAGCTAACGTCCGCAGTGTGTATGCCGGAATCTTCACGGTCCGTGTCGTTGAGAAGTTCAGCCGACGAAGAGGAAGCTGGGTAGCGTCTGCTGTAGTCCAGTTCCTCGAGACTTTGGACTCTCTCGAATGTATCGGGACCGCTGGAGGCATCTGCATCGAGAGAATCGAGACTGCGGTGGAAAGCTGTCCTGGGAATTCGGTATTCGGAGTCGGGCGATGAACTCCTCTCACTGGGTGTCGAGGTCTCGATTCGTGTTTCCGTGTCTCTGAAGCTGAGTATATGTTTGGCCATGGCTCGTTTGTCCAGGTCTTTCTTCCTGGATGAGTCCAGGGCGTTGAGACGATCCTTGATACTCCTTGCGGACAATTCGCAAGTCTTCGGAGCAGCCTCGGAAGCCGGTGGAGCCACCGGAGTGACCAGGAAAGGTTTTTCCGTACTCGTGTACTTCTCGAGCGACATTAATCTGTCCCGAAGTGGTCTACCGGTATCTGACAATTCCTCGGCTCTGGGCTTCCGAATCGAATTTTCGGCAATTTCCAACTTCTGGGAGGCCTGATGATGGCTTTGACTTTCGCGTTCGCTCGTCTGCTTCTCCAGGTTTGAGAGTCTCTCTCTGATGGAGCTCATGTCACCGGAGAGTCTCTTAAGAATCTTATTACTGCTACTGTTAGCGTTACTCTTGTCTCCGCCGTTCTCACCATCCTCCCTCTGGCTCTCCAGATGCGAGAGTCTCTCCTTTATGGACTTCGTGTTGCTGAAGTCTCCGGAGAGTCTCTTGGCCTTGGTATCGCTATTCTTTTGCGAGGCTTTTTCAAAAATTTCTCGCCTCTTAACTATATCTACTTTAACAACTGGTAAATTCTTTTCATCGTTCAAACTGGTCTTCGAGCCGGTATCGTTGGAGTTTACCGAGGAGTTATTCAGCTTCGCGTCCAAATTCGCCAAGGACTTCCTTCGCATCGGTATATTCTGGGACACCCTGGATACGTAGCCACGGATCGCACCTTCGTAGGTGTACTCTTCAGGTTCCGGTGAGCTTGCTGTCGCTGTGGTAGCTGAATCGTATTCCTGATTATGATTATGATTATGATTATGATTATGCTTGTGGCTGTGGAAACCGTTATCGAGATCCGCGACTTTCTTATTGGGTACAGCATTTCCGTTTTCGCCGGTCCCGTTGTTGTCCACGTCTGAATGATTCTTCTCGATCTCGCTGTCCCTGTCGCTCTGTAAAATCATTCATGGGTACAGTTTGGTTGGGTTAGCCAAATATGATAATAAGGTCTGACCGAAGAAGTATTAAAGATTCAAGATAAAAAAAAAGAGAAGTAGATAAAGAAAAGCAGACTGACTAGAACACTGTGGGCGTCATCGTGAGTGTCCCCACTGACGGAGCTCTTCCCACTGCTGGTCCCAATACCAAGGTCGCTCAGGTCGTTCGCATCTTCCTCCTGATACATCGCCAGACTGATACTCATTTTTCGGCCCCGGTTCCCCCGTTCCTCCATCATCTCCGAAAACGTCTTGCTCCGGCGACGCTGCCTGTCGTGTTCCTCGAGCTCCAGCTTCTTCACCTCGACGACCCGTTCGATTATGTGCTCCTGCCGCTTCCTGCGACTGCTCTTCCAATTGTCGAGATTCTGCAATTAAACAAGCAATCCCCCCCGCCGTATGACATCGTCTTTCTCTTCGTCTCGAAAGATGTAATAAATTTACTATAAAAATTCCTGAACCGCCGTTTCAAAATTTTATATTATTTTTTTTTAATTAAATCTTACCGACTGCCAATCCTCAGGATCATCGCGGACCTCCTGCTTTATCTTCTTGACCTCCTGCACCTTCTGTAGCTGCTCCTGAGCAGTGCGATAAAGCGAGCACGGTCCTACTTTGACAAATTGCAGAGGGTTGGTCGCCTGCTTCGGGGGTGTCTTAAGTGTCGTCTTCAATTTTGGTGGCTCGTGGGTGGTCTGCAAGAAAAAGATATTATTTAGAAAAAAAATATACCTCAATACGTTTTATCACTAATTGTCCCAGACTGAGAAATTTCAGCATGAACTTCCACCAGCTCGGGTAACATGGTCAAAGCCGGAAGCGGAACTACGCTTCGAGCTGGTGACATTACGTGATTTCCACGTGCCATTGTTATTTTATTCAGCGGATTTGAACTTGCTGTATTCGAGCATGAAGGCAATCTACCGAGTAAGCCTGATCGGTAAGTTAGTTAACTTCCTCTTGAAAATGTCTTTCCACGTTTTCCCCGTTATAAACCGACCCAACAGATTTTCCACCACCGATGCCCAGGAGATCAAAATACAATAGTTTGTCACAGAAAATATATAGCTAGTGGTATTACGAACCCATAACCTATCGACCCGAAGAGAACTCTTCGGGGTCCCCGAAACTCACCATTCTGTCGTTTCGCCGCTCCGAGGCGGCGGCGGCTTGCGAGCCGGGCATCCTCCTCCCTCCTCCCTCCGCCCCTCTTCCCGCAGCTTCTTCCTTCCCCTCCGTTTTCCGCTTTCCTTCCACTCTGCCTTTCTCCTCCTCCCTAAAACCTTCTTCCTTTTATCTTACACCTTCCCCTCCGTCGGTTCCTCTTCAGTGGTACGCGATGCCCTCTGACCACGTGTCCATCCTACGAGGCTTCCTGAAAATGCAAAAAATACAAAAAAATTGACATTTTCCGCGAATTCGACTCCCCCTTCTTCTCCAATCTCCTCAGTGCATTCTCGTGCAAGCGACCAAAGTCGCGCGTAATAAATATATGAAATTGAATGAAAAAGTAATAAAGAGAAAAGGAGGCTCTCTCGCAAGGTGTCGCTAAAAGATTAGCCTTGAATGCCATAGAAAAAGATGTTCAATCTTCGCGAACCGGATGCACTTTCCCTGGTTCCGAGGCTCTTTCTGCGAGTAGGTAAAGCGTGGAAGATTGGTGCGATAGCCTGGGGAGTGCGGAGGCATAAATTATATTTTCACGAGAGAATTCTTGGGTTCCGAACGTTGCTTTCCCCCGTGGCAGCTCCAACGAAGAGTGTCTGGATGACTTTGGGGTCTGGACCTCCGTCGAAGTCGAACCGTCTGTTTTTTTTTTTTTTTGGCAGCTCCAACGAAGAGTGTCTGGATGACTTTGGGGTCTGGACCTCCGTCGAAGTCGAACCGTCTTTTTTTTTTTTTTTGTAACTGCATCTTCGCCATAACAGACCGGACTTTGGGGGACGAGACACAAATTCTCCATAAATGACTCCGAGACGAATAAATATTATTGCAGCTAAAGCTACGTACGCATGTATTCACCCCGAGACGTAAAACCCACAACATCCGGCCGGTATCGCGTTATTTCGTGGCATTTCGTGCTATTTCGGTGAACCAGCATGGGCACTCTTGATCGTGTTTTGTCTTTTGCATCGACTAAAAGAATCTCAAGGCTACGCGGCTATTTCGCGCTTAACGGTTGGTACGCTATGCTAATGCACGAGGAGAGCCTGGACACGACTCGTACTTGAAACGTCAACGTGGATATACAAGATGGACTCATTAGCAGTTTACCGAAAGAGAATAGAAGGCTCAAACTTTTTCGGCCGACTGTCAATCATCCCATTTCGCCCGCGAGTAACCGGACTATTAATAATACGCCTATTTATAACGTCACGTCGCCCTCACGGTCAACGATCAGAAATTACAGACCGATCTCACGCTCTTTATTTACGCGCGACTCTCCTCGCCGATTTCAATGGCAAAGCAATGGAAATTCACTAAGGTCGAAGCCGTGAGACGCTTTCCCAGAATGCACGCAGACAGAACGACAATCCCCGTTTCCCTGGGACTCGAGTGCACGACGGATATTCAATAAATAAAAGATTGGTACAGTCTTATCAAAATGTGAGTGATATATCGCAACCAGCGTCCTTATCGCGCGATAACACGAATAACGAGAAACCATAGCTGATATGGAGATTGAACGTTTTCAAAAATTCTTGCAACAATCATTTCGACGCGTGTCGAAATTTTCCCGAAACTTTTCGAAAATGACCATTGTTTTCAAAAAATTTCAAAAAATTATCGGTCCTGAACATCTATCGGACTTAGGTTACCGAATCAGATAGGTTATGTCTCCCTAGTCCTGATATCGCATCCTTGGTCTCGATACACGCTAAGCTACCTAATCGATATAAATATCGATATATCGTTTCGGGGTGCGAGTTACCACGGTAGCGCTCCTGGCCGTCGGCCATCTTGTTTAACGAAGAAAGACAATATCGACACAGAAAGACACGCTCTGTATATTCCGATAACTCGAGAAGAATTTCCTCTTAGAAATCCGACGGTATCGATTACCGATCGTAAAGTATCGTTCGTCCCGTCAGCCACTGCTACGAAATTGCATAGTCGATCAACACGCACAGCTACCGTTTCCAAGTGAGCGGTAACAACAGTGCAGCGCCGCTGGACAGTCTCCATAAAGATGCATGAAAAAGAAAAAAAGGGAAATATTCTTCAAAAATGTGTCCTTCCGTCAATGCCATTAATTTACGACCAAGACGGGTCAAAGATCGGAGGTGATTTACAAGAAAAATCCGAGACCTCAAAAACCTCGATCTTTCCCCTCGCACAGACAAGGTCGTAAACGACAGTATTTCCCTGACGTGAAAGTAAAGCACAAGTCCAAAGCTGAGATAGAAGTAACAGTTAAATACGACACTACGTAAGCAACGTACATACCCAGCTAACAGTAGCGTTACGTTACGCGCGGAGTGGAACGTGGCTCGAGTCAAAGTGCTAGTCTCACGTAGCCTTAACGGTAGTCGACTTATCCTTCGGCTCGTCTTCCTGCTTTTATTATGCCACGGCGTCTCCTCTCTGTCCGACGATCTACGTACTCTCTCGTCCGCCTTAAGCTTCCCCCCCACTGCCCACGAGCCGAAGATCATTATATTTTAATTCCGTCGAGGCTCTAAAGATCACTCGACAGCGGTGCAGTGCGTAGATAGATAATACCGTGACGACGTACAAAAACAAAAGACACGCGTCGCCAATAAAACCCAACGCTCCGTAATCTCGGTAGGAATAACAAAGTGAATGCTTCGATGGAGCATGAAACGTAGCTCGTCGAAAACTGCAAGGCTTCCTGCGGTTGAAAATCAGCAAAGGTACCGTAATAGCTGGAATAACGATAATACGAGTGTCACCGGAGAACCAAACAAATCCGATGAGTCGTGCACGAGACGTCGGAAAGCCACGGGAGGGCGAGGGAGAGAGAAAGAGAGAGAGGGGGAAGGAGACGTAGGGACAGAAGGGTGGTGCAAAGGTGCGTAGTACTGGTAGCCAC